AGGAAAAGCGGAGGTGACGATAAATATCTACATACTTCCGTTTGTTCTCTCTCCAATTTTTAATGTAGGGGGGCGCCCCCAACCATGTCCAATAACAGGTATCATACATACATAGGTAGGTACAGAACATTGCGTCCAGTCTACCGTGACAGGCGTTGAAAATATCTCCACCGACGGCTCAGTGAGGGTCACGACGATGTCATTCGACTCGTCTGATCGCAAAACTACCTACCTAGATGAAGAAGACGGAAGGCTCCGCGGTTTTACTCGCCAAAACGTCAGCCCGAATCGAGAAGCCGGCTTTGGCCATAGCGGAAAGCCTAGTCAAACCCCATGGCCAGAGCAAGTAAATCTTCTACACGTACCTACACTCCAAAAACGAGGTTGGACGGTTCGTGGGTCCCCCCTCCCTCCAGAAATGGACAAAACCGCCGAGACGAAACAAGACGTGGGCACATGTGTGTATGTAGATTACGCACATCTGGCCAAACCCTTTTATCAAGCAACCTTTGTAACTCATTACTTTGATCAAGGAATACCAACACGAGTTCAGACAACGTTTATCTCATTGCAATATATGATGTAAGTGATAAATTCTATGACAAAATATCTGACTGGTGGGTATCTACTACATGATACAGAATACTTATGGCATTGTATTTTCGTTGACTGGCATAGCCCTCCTCCGTTCCAAGCTTGAATAAAACAGATTTTGGAGTGGGAATAAAAAAAATACGGAGCAGAAGAAAACAATAATAATAATGATCAAGGAGACCGCCTTGAAAAGAAGTAAAAGAAAGAATGTCTCCCATGTTTTTAAGCACCAGTCGAAGATAGCTTCATCTTTCCGAACAATACAGAAGATCGCTTTTTGACCTCGAACGGTTTCGCCACAGTTTTCCTCCTCTGAGGCTGGGCCACCATTTCTGGTACCTCATCATAGTGTTCCTCGTCGCTCTGACTACTGCCCGTAGTCATTGATTCCATGGAGCTGCCGGCACTGCCGCCTCTGGTCTTCCTGATGGGCGAAGAGCTGGCGCCAGGCGAGGCAGGCCCAGGTCCGCCCGTCACGGTCAGCCGCCGCCGGACCGTGTGCACAAAACTTTGGCTCCGTCTCAACTGCGGTGGAACTTGCTGCCTAGAGATTATCATCTCGTACTGCTTCATCATGGTCGGGTTTTCTAATATGTCCTCGAGCGCAAAATTTGCATGCGCCAGGCCGGGCAAATTCAGCCGTGGCATACTGTCCGTGTAGTACCGAGCCAGCTCTGCTGCTGGAACCAGGGATGATGTAAATTGGTAGAATGGAACCGAGCGCACGTCCTCTGCCACCCCCTGGGCTCCGAGGATGGCGTTCCAGCCAGATGAAATGACTGCGTGTATCGCGCCCGCATGGTCCGGTGAGACAGAAATCACGGGCGCTGCAAACTGCACATCGCGTTTCGGTGCCGATAGCGGGATTCGTGGAGTGCTGCCATTGTCATGGAGGCCTCTGAGCGAGATCGGCTCCATAATGAAAGCCGACGTGAGAAGAGAAATTGTTGCGCAGAGCATAGATAGAACCTCTTGCACAAAGAAGGGGTGCATTTTCTTCTCCGAAAAAGTGAGCGATATGTTGGCATACGTCGATCCCGACCTGGTGGACCGTACGAATATATCCGTGTTCTGGTGGTTGGACTCGATGCAATTCATTCTGCACGCCACACTCCCAATGTTGAAGTTGCTCATCAAGTCGTCGCGATCGCCGTGGTTCTCATGTTCAACCACGGTGGAGAACTTCTCCCAAACGGGCCATTTGGTGCATTTCTTCACAATGTCTGACCACTGCATGTTTTCATGCTCTATGCTCGTGCTCGTGATGTGTTGATTCTATGTCAATCGATAAGCCATGTGCATACTTCAAGTCATTGGGGGAGTCAAGACCACCTACTTGAACGTTCCTCAGATAATCAAGGGGCGAAGTCGGAACTGACGGGATGGTTGTGCGTACTGGAATAATGTTGCCTAACCGAATCAATTAGTCACTCGGACGGACAGATGGAATATCGTCGAAAATTAAAGGGGGGAAGTAGGAAAAGAAAATAAGCAGAGACTCACCAAGAGGGCCTACAGCGTCAGCCAGGCCAGGAAATGTTCCTGATCTCGACTCGCCAAAGACGACGTCTTCAGAGCCCGAGAGGTTTGACAGTACAATTGACCAGGCACCCTTAAGGATTGTCTCAAAGGGGATGCCCAAGTTGTTCAGAGAGCCTGTCGGAATGACTTGTTGCAAGGTCTTTGAGTCTGCCTTGGACGTTGGCACATCTGGCCCCGACTTGCTGATGACTTCAGTCATCGAGGACCCTTCCAGCAAGACCCTCCAATAGTCTAGGGCGCTGTTGAGGGAGGAGCGCTGTGTTGCTCTGACAACATCACAGAACCCTGAGCGGGGAGTTGGTAGATCGCCTTGCTCGTAAAACCTGGAAAGATCCGAGATGAGTGTGGGCAAAGTGAGATTATTGTATTGCGCGCGAGAAAGCCTCATGACCAAGACAGATTGCTTCAAGGCATCAATGTACCAGAACTTCGTGGCCGGCTGGCGAAAGTCGACTGGCATTATTTGGTCTCTCTTGATTACCTTTGCTGCCAGCCCGCTGAGTCTCCAGCTGTTGGACTGATATCGCTGGAATTCGGGATGGTATGTTCGAATGACGGTTTGGAATAGCTGGCGGTTGTGGGAGACAAAGGCCGTTCGGAGGATTGGGTGGGCCATGGTCAAGAGGTAGCAGGCATTCTCAAGCTTGCCCCAGTCGAGCGGCCCATTGACGTTGATGACAAAATAGTTGACATTTCCCGGCCGGCTGCTGAGCATACCCTCCAAGAACATGGTCTGAGTTGCTGAAGCTTCGGCAATATCCTCGATACTATCGCGGTCGCCAATCTGCGGGACAATGGCGTCGTCCACAAACGCGTTCGAAGGACTTGGCTGCATGTACCTGCTCTGTTCTGCGTGGTAGATGGGGGAGTCGGGCATGGAGATACCGCGGCAGAGCTCGTCCAGTGGCATGTTGCGGACCACGTCCAGGATGGATATGGCCACGTCCTGTTCTCTGCATGCAACCACAAGGTTATGAGCAAGGTCAAGGTCACCTCCCAAGCTCATGAAGCCGTCGGTTGGCCGAATGGGGCTATTGTTGTTCAAGCCAAGCACCTCTTGCCAGAGCGAGCGCATCCTTTCCTCTGTCGCTGTCAGCGGCAGGGGCTCAAGGCCCGCTGAGTTGACCTCCTGTGGGTTGGGTACCTGAGCCAGGCCCAGCAGTTGCGTCTTGGAGAGGCCCCTGATCATCTTCTGAAGCTCCCGATGGCTGACCTCGTACGCGGGTGTCAGTGGAAGCTGCCGCACGGGTACCAATGTGTCCGGAAGGGCACCCCTGAGAGAAAGACCTGCCATTTGCTTGGCCAAGTACAGCCGCTCTTTTGTCTGGGGTTTGAGTCTTGATAGGTCCTCCCCATGGTACAGCTCGTCGTCAAGCTCTACAAAGGCAGCAATTATTGGGGCTGAGTCGCTGTCAGTGTAGTTGAAGGCTATCTTGGTAACTGCCACGTCGATGCTGCGACCAAGACATCGGCGCAGTTTGCGTTCAATCTCGGCTGTGTTCACAATGCCACTTCCGAGGTCGACGTTGTCTGCTTGGGCCGAAACCAGCTCAAGCTGGCCATGTTCGACATAGCGAACGTAGTGGCCAGTCTTCAGTAAGCGTCCTGGGCGGTTCGAGCGTCCATCGCGAGCAGTGCTGGCCTTCTTCTTATTGCTGTTCAGCTGAATTGGCCCGGCGTCGAGGTCTCGGCCTACGGCCAACGTGGGCGCAGCGATGACGAGTTCGCCGACAGCACCAATAGGCATCAGTTTGTTGCTATCCGAGGGGTTCACCACCCAGAAGTTACCACAGTAGGGGCTGCCAATTCCACGGACGGCGAAAGGATCGCGCACTTCGGAAGCAGAAAGACCCAGTACACAGGCTTCGGCAGAACCGTAAGCCAGAATGATCTTGGCCTTGCCGGCCCATTGGCTGTACACGTCGTCGTCTAGCTGTTGCGTTCGAAAGCACACAATTGCCATGTCAGGCATGCTCTCGGGTGACAGCCTGCGAGACAGCGTCGGAGTCAGGTATGTCCAGTTGACATTCATCCTTTGGGCGGCAATCGCAAAATCGCTTGCTTTGACAGATTTTCCAATGCATATGCAGGCGCCATTAGTCAAGGTCGTGAAGATCTCAGCCAAGGCTATGTCGCTACTATGTGAAGAGTAGTGCATAACTCGACTGGATGGATTGATTCTCAGGGCCGGCCCCTGCCCAACACAAGCCGTTGCCAGGGCCGAGTGGCTGTAAGTGATGCCTCGGCGTGTTTGTACCACATCAGAGTTGAACAGAATGCAGGCAACATCGTCATCATCAGTTCTCGCCGAGGTCACCAAGGTTGGCTCTTCTGGTAAAGATGCAATGGTTTCTTCGTTAATGAAGACAATATCACAGTTGACATCTTTGAGGTGCTTCCTGACGCTCTCGGATGCAAGCGTGATTTTTGCGCCAACGCTTTTGATGACCCAGGAAAATATTGATGGCAGAGACGTATCGACTGGCACGATGCAGGCCCCAATGTTCAGCACAGCCAACATTGCCGGAACCACCCAGCGGGACTTGTCCATGATGATGGGCACGGGTGTCTGGTGCTTGACACCAGCTTGGCTCAGCGCCCCGGCTAGTATCATTGACATCTTGTCGAGCTCGGCGTAAGAGAACCCCCCGTCCCAAGCACATATGGCCTGGATGTCGGGGTGCTCGATGGCATTCTTGGCAATGAGCTCATGCACGTGTTCCTTTGGAGGCGAGATCTTTGGTTGGCCGTTCCATACGAGGATCTGCCTGTGGTCATGATCGCTGAAAAGGTCAACTTCCTTGACTTGTCCACCGGTAATCTCCATGACGGCTGAAATTGCCCGCCCAAATGCGTGGCCTACATGACTTGCTTGCTCTGACGTCAGGATGCGGTGTCCAAGATCAATGACCACGGTGCCATTCTTGAACACGACGTCTATATTGACGTCGTACTCGGAGGCTTGCATATTCCGGACGTGCCGGAATTTGACACCAACAGGAGGCTCCTCGGCAATATACTCGTACCCAAATGATAGGCAAGTGTTGAACAAGCGGCGGCCTTTTGTTTCAAGGGCGTGGTGGATGCTATTCACCGACACATGCTGATGGTGGAGGGCCTCTTGATGAATCTCTGCCGAGTCGAGGAGTAGTTGTGCTATGAACTGCGACGAGTGCACGTCTAGGCGACAGATCATTTCCGTTGAAAAGCAGCCAACAGCGTCTGAGAGGTTATCGACAGGTATGTCGCGGCCAGACGTACGGTAGCCAAAGCACGCCGAATCCGAGCCCACATATGCTCGCAGGACGAGTGCCCATGCAACCCTCAGAACGGCGGCTATATCTAGCTTGTATTTCTCAGCAAATGCTTCGAGATCTGCGTGGGCGACCCCCAAGTCCACAAAGGTGTGCTCATATGCTCTAGTATCCAGCGACTTGGAAATGAGGCTAGGGAAATGGCATTCTTGGATGCCTTGGAGCAGCTCTCGCCAGAATTCCGTGCTGACGGGCGTGGTTTTAAGACACTGCAGATACTCTGGGTAATGTACATCCGTTGTGTTGGGCAGAGCGTGACCAAAGTATACCTCTTGAAGCTCACTGAAGAGGATAGTGATGCTCGAGGCCTAGAGATTCGCTTCGTTAGTACAGAGAGCGCTGTCCACATTTGGGTGATATTGGCTTACATCGCACAAGGCTTGACTGACTTCCAGCATGAGAAGTGTCTTGCCTGGTGCCTGGCAGACGACTAGGCGGTGCCATGGTGTGCCTTTCATGAGGTTGATGGGCGTCAACTTCTCCATTGAATACAATGCAGTGTCAGGTCGGTCGTTCTCGATGAACAGCATATTGGGGGAGTGTCGCCGTAGGATGATTTGGTCAAAGAGGCTGAACCGAGATATGCTTTCCATGAAGACAGTTCGGAGTGCAGGGTGCTTTTGTACGACCTGCTGCCAGGCTGCACAGAGAAGGCCAATGTCCACAAATTTACCATGAGTATTGAGCTCATACACAGTCTGGGAACGCGAGCTGCCCGGGTTCAGAGGCTCACTGATAAGCAGATCCTGTTGATTTGCTGTGACGGGATACATGTTCTCAATGTTTAAAATGTCGATTCCCAAGTTGGGAAGGATTTCGCGGTTGAGTTTGGCGAGATTATCATAGGTCACGTCCATCAAGGGAATGTCGGCCATGGAGAGCTCTGGAGGCTGAGACTGGAGTCGGAAGACCGTCTCGCGCACGAGTGTCTCAAAGTTGCGCATCCACGCCTTGATGAGATCTTCGTGTCGGGACCACTTGTTGTAAAGTAGCTTGAATTTGGCCTCTCCATGATCGACAGCTGCAGATACCTCGAACAATGAAATTCTTCCGACATTATGCCCAATATCTGACGTACTGGAAGCCAATGACCCCGTCACCGGAAGTTGCTCCAAAAGGTTCTTTTGACTATCGAGGCTCTCCACGGAGCCCGCATAAGTGAAGATGATTTCCATGGGGCACCTGGATTTTACAAAACAGTCGGCGGATTCGGCATTGAGCATATTGGCTGCGAAAAAGGGGACGCCTCGCCCAGCTATCGAGCGGCGCGCGTCTTTTACGCGGGCAAGCACATCGGGTATTTCATCCGTCGGCGTGACCTGAAGTCCAACAGGGCAGAGGGCTGTGAACCAACCAACTGTCTCGGACAGATCGATTTCGGTGTCAAGTACGATGCGCTCATGTTCTTGGTTCCATATCGACGGAGTTGGCCTGTCGCGGAAAGTCTGCGAGAAGGAGAGGAGCAGAGCGGCCATGAAAAGATCCGACGAGTCGGTGCGGAATGCGCGGTTGCTAGCATCCAAGGCCGAGGTGACTTCCCGCTCCAAAGTGAACCCGAGCGATGCCGTGTTGCCGTACTTGTTGCTCAGATCATTGACTCCCCAATAGTCCAAATCGGCAGCACTCGTGGCGAAGGGGAGCTTTGTCGCCGCCTCGGCACTTTCCACCTGGCTTCGCTGATGGGCATTCCACTCGGCAAACGTAATGCGACGACCCGAGACCAGGCTTCCGTTCATCATGAGCTCCTGCAAGTCATCGATGATGACTCGCCACGACTTCAGGTCGGTGACCAGGTGATGGGCGACCAGATATAGAAGCTGATGGCCATCATGAGTGTGGAAATGATGGGCTGCAAATACAGGTCCGTTTTCGATATCGATGCTACCGTGTGCTTGTTGGATAATGGTCTCAATCTCAGTGTTTGTGCCTACCGTGTGATGGCCAAAATAATACGAAGAGGGAATATCTGTGAGAGTGTGTTGAGACCACGACCCGAGTCTCGCTCGGAACCGCGTCCTGAGCATCGAATGGTGACCGACGACGGCCTCGACAGCTGCACGGACGTCTTCGACCGCTGTCGGCCGTCTAAATTTTAGCAACGTGCTTTGGTTGAAGCGGTACGAATTCTTCTTGTCGGCCCTGAGGGGCGCTCTCTGGCCCATGGCAGTGTGAAAGTATAAACGCTGCATCGGGGCCAAATCAAATTCTTCAGTGGTGTCTTCGTTGATCTTGTCGGTAAAGATCTCGCTGGGTGTCGCCATGGCAGCCAGCTGTATCAGAGGCATATCTTGGAGGATATCTTCAACCTTGAATGAGAGACCTTGTGACTTGCATCGCACCACTAGCTGCATCGCTGTGGTTTGGTCTCCCCCCAAGCTCTGAAATGACAAGTTCATGCCAACATCTGCAATGTCCAGATTCAAGACCTTGCCTACCGCCTTCTGGAGCTTTTTCTCATTGTCGCTCTCTGGGGGCCCGGAACGGTCCTGCGAGTCGATGGACATGATTTTCTGGTAGAGATCCTCGTTTGCGTTCTGAATCCACGTCTGCAGCTTTCGTCGCTGGATTTTGCCATTCTCATCCAGTGGCATTTGCTCGAGAACTATCCACACCTTTGGTACCACGTTTGGCGGCACCTTTGCCTCGACCGCTTTCCGTATTGAGGGCAGAGGAATGGTGTAATAAGCATTGAGCAGCTTGATATCACCCGTGTTTGGTCCCTCAACCACGCAACTCGACAATGTCAAAAAGGCTGTGACTTGACCTTCGAACAATCCAGCCTTCGGCTTGAGCACTGAAGCCTTTGCAACTTCCCCATTGAGCGAGAGGCATTGCTCAACCTGATTGTGATAGCGCTTGGACGATTTGGGTTTGAGATGCGCTTTGGGTACGATAGGCGTCTGGGCCTCGGCACTCGACGCGGAGCGGCGCCGCGTGGCTGCGGCCTTGGTCGCGGAACTAACGGCGGCCAACGGCGAGCTTAATTGAAGGGGGCTTACTAGGCCGGTTGGTGGCAGGTCGGCAGTTCTACTAGTTAGCGGCGACGGGCTGAAGGGCGTGACATGAGTCTCGAGCTCGGCGATAGTCTTGGAGCCCAGTATATCCTTGGTCTGGACAGACAGACCTGCCTTTAAGCATTTTGCCCGCAGAGCAATCGCAGCGCGCTTGTCCCCACCGAGGTCTACAAAGGACTCGTCCCGTGGTACTGTGCCAATGTCAATTCCCAGGGTCTCGGCAACGGCAATGCTCAACCGCCTTTCTATCGACGTCGCCTGCGCTGGCGTGGACCATGTTTTCTCGGGTGGTGGTGGATAAAAGGAGCTCGGCCTCCTCGATTCTGGTTCTGGGCGGGATGCTGTCACACAAGTTTCCGGTATATCGTTGAGAGACACCCCGAGGGCCTCTGCTACCGCTTCAGCTGCTGAAGCGATGACATCTTCGGTTATCTCTTCACTCAGTGGTCGAATGGCAGTGTCGATACGAGGCAGAGGTCTCCGCCTCGAGCCGGACAGCACCGCATCGGAATCGAACAAGCCCAATGAGGTATCGATTGGGGGCAATACTAGATATGTTGAAGACATCTCCCTGGAGTATAGTTAGCAGCTGACAAGTGATATGACGGGGAAACGCGATGCTCCGGTCAAGTACTTGGTCTGTGTCTCACCTGAATGCCAAAAAGAAGAAGAAAAAGAGTTTTGTCCAGAAAAAGGGCGATTTGGGGAAAAAGGGCGATATAAGCAGCAAGCTATGGGTAGTGTCACGGAGGAGGCTAGCACGGCATGGTTGACGACGGGCGAGCACGATGCGGTTGTTGGCGAGTGTTCCAGATCGTAATGTCGTCGTCCTCTGTGTGCAAATTTGGGCAAGTAGGTATGCACTAAGGAAGGGAATAAGACAATAAAAAAAACAATGACAGAAATTAGGTAGAACGTAAGATGTAAGCGAACAGCATCACGATTATTAGGCTGGGTCAGACAGGAAGGCGGATGGTCAGTCAGGTCAAGGTGGGACATGTATGGTGTTCTATGTATGTAACTAGCTAGGTAGGCAGGCATGTCTGGCATGGTAGGATCAGCCTACTATTTCCCCCCCATTGACATCACACCAACTCAGGCATGGGCTGAAGGGTTTCCATTGGGCGCAGCAGCAGCACAGCTCGGCAGGCTGACGGAGAATGTGGGCTCTGGTGTTGGGAGGGTGTCTCGACTTTTCGACCGAACTCAAGTGAGAACTACCATGTACTCAGCAGACGGGATGGTTTAGTACGACGGGTAGACGGCCGGGGGGGGGGGAAGGGGGAGGCCCACCCTCCTCTTCCATGTCTTTGCATATCCATTTGGGCAGACCTGGGCGTTGAAGGGTGGGTAGATACTTGTAGGGTACTCGAACGAGTCTGGGGCATGAGCAGCTAAATGGTTGATGGTCGATCATAGTAAGCACTCAAGTCGCTCTGGGGATCAGGTAGATGGGCAAGTACTGCAATAGCCAGGCCATGACCTCCTAATCCGCGAGGGCTCCACAGTCGAGGCAACATCAAGATGCAATTGCCAGCTATCGGGGAAGTATAACATTTGCTAGCTGAAGGCCGGATCTAGTCACGACCGGACGGTCGGGGTAGGAGGGCACACTACAATACCTCAACTACGTACGCCGCACTGCATTCTTCACTACAAAAAGTAATAAGAGACTGGGACTGGGCACTTCTCCAACTCGTCGGCAGCCGCCGTAGCCAGGTCAGGTAGGGTGTGAGTGCTTTGTATGTAATAATGGAGGCGAAGGGCAGGCTGCTCGACCTGACGGGAGTTTCCCACCCCTTCTCCTTCCCTTCGCCTCCAAACTCTCGCCTCCAGTGGTTTATTTGTGTGTTGGAGAGGAACTGGACGCACAAAGGGCAAGCAAGCCAGTGACGACGATGGCAAGCCAACACGTCACGAAAAAAAAAAATATATTATTCCTTTCACTTCCACAGTGGACTTCGGAATTCTTAGCCTTAAGGCCGATTGGAGTTGGCGGGTAACAAGTTTACTGAGGACTGAGGTCATAGAGAGGTGGCCTCGGGTGCCGAATAAAGTGGTCAGGGTTTAGCAGTGGGAAGGGAAAGAATCAAGAGGCGTAGAGGGTCTCCAAAGTCAGCGCACGTCCGTTCAGCAGACTGATGACAGGAGCGCAGACCAACAACCCAGAGCGCCCCCCTCGTCCCCTGTGCACGCAACATGGATGCATTACGCTACTATGTACTACTGGATGTACCTAATGTAACATTGGCCTTTTGGGATCCTAAACTTAGAAACAAACTAGCCCAGAGTTGGACTAGAGCGGCGGCAGTGCGAATGGGGGCCGCTGCGAAACGACTTTCAACGGACTCGAACACTGTTCCCAAGGTAGGTAGAGTAGAAAGATCATCTTATTGTTCTATATACATATCTGCACTGCTGCTAGCATAAAACATATCCCCAATAGTGGTGAGGCTTGGTTCATGATATAATGTCTATTCGAGTTATAGGTTGGCCGTTGTCTTGCATACATAGAGCAGGGACTCCCAGTGGTGTCCGTTCCTGCTTGAGGCAGAGGTCGCAATCATTCGCCCCCGCCATAAATCAAAATCGCCTGTAGGTCAATATCCACTCAGTGAAGGCTGTACCTAGTATAACGTACCCGTGGACATGGTTGGTGCTAATGTATGTGGGTAGGTACCCGCACTACCTACGTACAATTCGTCAGTCACAGTATCACAGTAGACCAGCAATCTGGAAGGCATCGGACCCGACACAATACAGTGATTACTTTGATATGATTACGTAGATCAGAGTCGAAACCAGAGGTGGACGATTTGACACTTTGACTAGCGCTTAGTGGTTTCTATTCTGATTCGTTTTCAGTCCAGTAAACCACTGTCCGGAACGTGTAATAAGCTGGGTGCATGTAGGTAGGTAGGTAGGTACTCATGAATGGGCTCGAACATTTATTTCATTTGGTTTCCTACCTTTTACCTAGGTACATTCCAAAGCAAAACAACCAACCTACGTCCTCCCCGCGGCCTCGGCCCCCTTGACCTGCTCGAGTTGGGCGCAACAGACAAAACCAGACACAACTTCGTAACGCGTCTGGTCCCATGGGATCGACATCCCGGCTCTTCCTTGAGATCCTCCTGCTGCAATGCTACAGCACAAGTGACAAAACTCTGCTCCTTTTCGCCTGTCTACTCTGATAGAGGCAAAGCCCGCGCAGTCCAACCCCCGGTGAAATGTGGGTAGTGCAGTGTATTGTAGTAGTATCGTAGCATTTTGGGGATTGGGAATGCATCGTAATAATAATAACAGATTCAAGAGCGATAAGGTGGACAGGCTACTGTGTAGGTAGGTACATTAGGTATGCATGTTTGTCCATGTGCAGATTCCACATTTTCCCTGGGGGGGTATTGCTAGTCGAGTCCTTCAGTGTTCGCTTGTTACTACCTGGCACTTATATCTGTACCAACAAGACTTTGTACATTAAGCAGTGCTCGTTGCTGCGCTTGAATACCTAGGTAGGTAGCAATCACAAAGATCCGGCGAGCCCACGCCGACGCTGGTTCAGGTAGCAGTAAATGAGTATGCGCAGCGCATCAGAACTGATGGGCAGACTAGGATTTCAAACTTGTTGCACATTGACCCCCCGAGTGGCTGCAGGCTTCTTCAAGGCTCAGAATCCTGTGGCTGGCACCGCACCGAGCGAGCTTCCCGTACTGCAAGGACCCTGCCAACGTCGTCGCATCGAAACCCGGCGTCTTCGCGTGCAAAGCTGGCTCATTTAAAAGACAAGCAGAGGGTATGTATGTAGCACGATAGTTTGTATATATCTATCAGTCAGTCGTACTAAGCCCTAAGGAGACCGCTGCATTCAATTTGGTTGTGTTCGCCATCAAGCAAACACGGCCAACCAACCGGAAACCGAGAGGCCGAAAACCCCCCACGCGCTAAATACGACGGACCATTTTTGGAGTCTGGAGTAGGTAGGTAGGGACATTAAAGTATTGAGTGATTGACTAATTGATCACTATTGCCATGTACATAGGTAAGCAGCCGTGGCAGCTCGCAGGCGTAGTTAGTGTAGAGTAAGCACGGTTTTGCCATGGCGAATGACAATTTTTGGGCTTCTTTGGTCAGATTCCAGCGGCAGGGTTGATTTCACCAAATGAAACAGAGATCGGCCCTCTCTGCAGGACTCAACCTTGCCCGTAAACGTGGCCATTGATCCCAGGGCAATGGATATATATGTACGTCGTCCCAAAAAAAAAAAAAAAAAAAAAAACTACCCTCGGGCCGTTACTGTGACCTGTCTTGTCGTGAGTGCAGTGTTCAAGGGATGGCTTGCGAGTCTTCTCCATTTTGTGCATCATGCCTAGTAAGTCAGTACGTTGTTAGTCTGATTGTCTTTGCGCCATAGCAGGTTCTGCCCTGGTAATCGATACCTACTGCCGATTGTCAAGGCCAATGATAACATACAATCGTCATGACAAATATCGTCCAACACCATACAACTGTGCCTCCCTCCCGCCACGAGCCAAGTTCTACTGGGGTTGAAACTCGGGAACAAAGACCTCATCAGGCCTGGCCATCAAAACATTTGTGATTTCATAGTTTGCGCATGTCAGTGCTCACAGAGATGACCATCCTTGTCGTGCAAGGGTAGTAGGTACCTACCTGTGCCGCGCCCATTCGAGCAACCATTGCGCTGATCGATCGATGCGCGCTCGCTTCCGTCATATTGCTATTGGTCGCCCAGCGCCCTTTTGGTCGAGGCAAAGCGAGGTTCCCGAGCCACCCTGTCACTGTGTGGGGTTCGCGGGATGCAGACTCATAATCTCTTGCCCTCGCCTCTACCCGTCTCCATGTGTGCTTGTGCTGATACCGGTAGCTCATTCAGGGCTTCAAGTCAATGGCACTCGGGATGGTCAGATTGTAGTGGTAGAGGACGACAGTTTATCAAGAAGTCTTCAGCCCAGCCATAAGGATCTGACTTGACATGTTTGACCTTCCGATCGTTACCTGAGGGTGCAATGGGTATGATCACCGCCTAGGCTCATGCAGTTTTGGAATACCAAATACAAAGCCTCATCTTATCAAAATGCCAAGAGGATCCTTTGTCTCGCTTAGAAACCCAGCTTGAAGTATTAGAAAGATCATCCGAGAAAGGAAACTTTTTCAACTATGTCCGTGAGAACATATCAAGTATGTACTGGTCCATTATCTAGGTATTAAAACAATTTAGGTAGAAAAGAATTATGTAGAGAAACCAGCTCTCTCTGATTCCATAGCAGCAGGCATGGATCAGTTCCAGCACACCTTTCAAACCTCTACTCCCGAGACCGCAACGCCACACATCCCGTTACATGTCAATAATAACAATAATATATAGCGCAGCAAGGTAGTCAAGGCGGAGTGGCGCGCCTGATTGCACCTTTGGTTCAGCTTGACTTCAGCTCCCGTCTCCCGGCCAGGCCGGCGACCCAATTGACCAAACTGTATTCCGTAGCCACTGGCCGAGCAAAGCCATCATTTGTTTCGTCTTCTCAAGAGCATCTTCTGTGGTCGATTCATCTCCGAGTAACGCTTCTGGGGTTCGAAGATCAAAGCCGTGCAGGACGTCGGGTACGAGCAACCACTTGATGCTGCTCCTCTCCCCGCTCGACCGCAGTGTGACGCGCTCAAAGGAGAACCTCTCGTCGTCGAGCTTCAAGGCTTTTCCATCCCCCGATCTAGGCCGGCCGACGGGCTCGTTCATGCTCGGTATCTGCCGCTCCGCAAGACGACATGCCATACGCCAGGAGTCGTGTGCCAAGCTGTCGAGCTCAGCTGCCACCAGGCACACGTGAGGTGGCAGGGCGTTGGCTGGAGCATAGAACGGAGCATACAGGGGATCTGTCATATCCGTCCCCTCTGGAGTATAGCTCCATTGAATTGGTGGTAGGGCCATATTCAGACTGTCTGCGCTTCCCGATCGCGCAATACTGAGCTCCTCCTTATAGGGACGTGTCTTGGCCTTGGCTGATGCGGCAATCCCAAGCTCCAGCAGTCCGCAGCTGCTGAACGCTGCTTGAAAGCCAACATGCTGTCGAATACTCTGCAATTGCACGACGGCAAATGCGAGTGTGGCGCCAGAGAAGGAACCTCCTATTGCAGTCCGTGTACGATCGATGGGCAGTGTCGGATCACTCATGATGGCGAGAATCACAGCTTCCAAATCATATATCGCGGCCGGGTACGGTGCTTGTGGTGTTTTTGAGTGATTCAACCCTATCACAATGAAGCTATGCATGTCTGCCATAAGCCGATTCCAGCGGTCGTCATCTGTTGCGCTACCCGTCGAAAACCCGCCGCCGTGTACGGTGAAGACTATCGGTAGGACTGTCCCGGATGAGGGATCATAGGTACTTGGCAGGAAGATGCTTCGCCTTGTTAGCAGGTGCAGTCCAATGTCGATTCATTTCGGGGTTTGACCGCGCTGGGTTGCAAATGTTTCTCATTGCTGTCGGTCTTTGCGAGAATATCACTCACCGTACGGGCAGATAAGATCGGATCTCATACTGCTTGACGAAAGTCGGACGGCTGATTGGTGGCCAGGTTGACCGGTATAGTTCTCCAATCGTAATCATGGTTGAGTGTTTGGTTATACTTGTACGTTGTAGTCCCTGATGCCATTGCCTCGAACGTGTTGCGCCAGTGCAGTATCACCACTGCTTGAACATGCTGGTGATATATATATTATATGCCGATCGAGTTGTAGTATGTCAACGTTTCCGAAGTGGTTACCCCAGCCTGTGGAGGGATGCAAGCTTCCGTTTCGGATCAGGTCGAGTGTCTATTCTAAGTGTCTCCATCACGAAGTCAGAAAGTGACGTTATTCCCAATATGCGTAGTATCCGCGCCCGCGACCCAGGGCAACACGGCCGTTGTCATTTTCTCGTGGGTCTGCAGAAAAAAAAAAGGGACAAGGACGAGTATGGGAATCCGTATTCATCGACTTCTCGTGTCGTAGTCAAGCCCCGGGCACGTTCTGGACGTATGTAAGCCAATGCGGAAGGTTGCCGCAGGGTATACGGTGGAGATGGCGACACTGATTGGCTCCTCGGGCTAGCCTGTCAGCTGAGCCTCGTATTGTGGTCTCAGAGGCCGCGGCGCCGCCCCAGCTGGCGATCGGGCCATGCTTTAAAGACGAGGCACGAGTGGAAATCGGAGAATTATTTCAAGATGCTAAGGCTCTATCACGATGTCGTGGGGAGAGTCGTCATTCCATCATGAATGAGGGAAGATTCGGGTGCGAGCCAACGAGCAGCCAGTATCGGGAAATGGGTGATTTTTGCCCACGCGGATTTCAATTATCACGATCTCCTGACGGCGCTCAACCTAGGTGACATTTTTTGAGCTTGGCGTCCTCGTTGTCGCTCTCAGGCGGGACTTTGTTACCATATCACTCGTTCTGTATATTTCAAAGCCCATTAAGCGCATTGGCGCGTATTCCTCATGGCAGTAACCGAGAGCGGCTCTCTACCAGATACGCTCCTTTCATTATGCATCCCGTCTCCGTGGCAGACGTCCACATAAGAGTGACGAATGCTATTCATTGCAATAGCCGCGATGATTCTCGGCAATGTACCATATTGCCTTCATCGCCGTAAAGGGACGAATCATCTATTCACTCTTGACTCTGCCTGTTTACCCATCAAGCGGTCACTTTACTCCACGGCAGATGGCGGTCCACCATCAAACTTCGTGGAGAATGAGTGTCGCGATTTCCGAGACTTTCTGATTCGATTGCTTTCTGCATCGTGATAGCATTAATATGACCTTGACTGCAGATCTTTTGACAATCTTCTCGACTTTCCACTTCTGTCCTATGTCTGCACCAATCTCTTGGTAGCCAGCCATCCTGTTGCTCAGCCTCTTTTGACTTTGACTCAACGTTACTCCATCAGTGCAGATCGCAAATCCAGTGAGATTCCGGAAAGGTTCGAGATAAGTTATCAAGTACGAAAAGCTCCTTTGTTCTAGGTTGCAATGGCGACAAGGTGGTGATAATTACAGTATAGAATGAGTGGGAGCAAACTTCATTTCAATGCTTGGTTTCTGGACGAGCGAGCTATTTTGTGGGAGATGTTGCGTGAAGCTGGCTGATTTGAATGACGAATAACACTAGCAAAGCGAACCAACAATCGATAATTATTGCATGTGATATGATGACACAGGGGGAAAGAACAAGAAGAAAAGAACTCAATAATAGATAGTAGGTGCTTGTCAAACTTGTCAGAGGCTACCAAGCTACCTACAGAAATCGGAACTTTTTATCCGTGCCACGCTAGTCGACGCGCCATAATCAAAATAACGCGTATACCACCCTTTGTTTTATTTTTTTTACTATGCACCATTACGATGGCTATTTTACGTTAATTCGGTACCGAATTATCGGGAAATCGTAGGCGTAACGGGGAATTTATATCGGATGCCCGTATATTTATAGCCGGTGCCGCTATAGCTAGTAAAAAGCATAGCGATTTCGCGGACGCGTTCGGCACCGTACGGCGCTAAACCATTATTAAAATAATCGGCCGTATATAAATAAAATAAATTAGGAAAATAGGTAATCGAAGGAAAGGGAAATATAAAATAATTTTCCGGGAAAAACGCTATTTAATTATTTTTGCCCGTAAATACCCGGAAGATACTTATTTTTAGCTTATTAGGAGGAGCACCTTTTTTATTTATATAAAAACTTATAAAAGGATTTTTTAACGCTATTATTTTAAAAATTAGAAAAAAGCTAAAAGGATCCTTTTTACGGAAAAAAACGCAGCGGCTAGGCTTGCTTTCGCACGAAAATATTTAAAACCGGCGGAGCTACGTAAGCTTTTCCGAGCCTTATTTTCGGATAAATATACGGTGTGTAATAAATCCGGGAAACTTAGCTAATAAATCTTCCGTTTAGCAAGCGAAAGGTTCCGTCCCGATTTCGTAAATATATAAAGTTATAAAAAGCCGAAAATCTCCGTAATAATTTAGGGAATAATATAGCAAAACCGTAAAAAAAAAAGAAGGTCCCCGATCGTATTTTGCTAAAAAAATCCGGATGCACCGCGCTAAAGAATAAGCTTAAAGTTATATATAAAGGTCCTCGAGGAAGGCCTGCTTCCGCTATATATATTTAGCGATTTTTTCGTTTAAAATAACGCTTTAATATATAAAAGTTACCGTACGATAAAATAGCTGTCCGACGAGGGGGTAAAGCTTATCGAATAGCCACTTTATAGCCCGGATTTTAATTTTATCGAATACGTATAATAAGAATTAAAAAAGCAAATCCGTAAATTAAAACCTGCTTTTTTAAAGCTTAAAAAAAATATTACCGACGAAGCATACGCGAGAAAATTAATTTAAAATGCGTAAAGGGAGATAAAAATAAACTTAATTAACACTTTAATTTAATTTATCCCAGACCGGCTACGTATAATTAAAAAAGCTAAAGGGTGGTATATAAAGTATTAGATAACGATTAAAATAAGCTTATTCCCAATTCCGTAAACCCCGTGGTGGCTGAGATATCGTAATTAAAAAGTGGTAATTGGAACTGAAAATTTATGCATTTTGGTCCGTGCACGCATATAAAGTTCCGGTCATTGTACCTAGGTAATTACTCTACCCGAGCACCCGCATTTACTAGCGCAAAAGCAAAGCCCCCTGTTCCTGTTTCTGATATCCATCAGAACCAGGAACGAGAATTTTGTTCCTGGGGTCGGCATAGACAATGAGAACCATAGACATCAGAGTCGAGACATGAGGCAGGGAGTAGTGCTCTATACTCCTTGACTACTGTGTGGTGACTGGGGAGCTGTTGGTCGGCCTTGTGGTTCCTGGATATCCTTGCTCATCAATACAGAATCACCCAATGACTGGACTCTTGCTGGAGTCGCTCCTCTGATCAGCGGAGCTCCACACAAGACCGTTTTTCTTCTTCTTCCTCTTTTCCTTCTTTTGGGAGGCAGCCGGCGGATGGAGAGTGAGTTTCAAGACCCTCACTTGCTGCAATCATCAATCTCGTCGATTGACCCATAGCCATGATGGGAAACTGAAACTCATGGACTCAAGCCGCAATTGCTGCAAGGTGAGCCATGCTTTCGGTACACTCATCGGGCTTCCGAGCTGTGGGTTATTACGAGAATGGAATGTAACGATCCCAATTGCCCAGCTCGTATTCCCCACGGGCGCGCTAAGGGCTAGGGAGTCACTGGCGGCAATAAACCATAACCGATACTACCAAGATACCCAGATCCATGGGAAACGGTATGGCAAGACTTTGCCGGATATGGCTTACTAATTTCCAAGAGACTGAAAGGCCAATCACAGCATCCGAGCTAATGGTGAAACAAGTTTAGAACTTGCGGCTGAGCGCTGGGTCCTTCTTCTCCCGTGCAAGTGACTAACATACGTGGGCCACTTTTAGCTGTCTAAGCCCATACATAGTACATACACTGCCAACCGTTTTCTGCTGATCTCTCCATGAACATGTCCGCTTTATACCTTCTCTTTCTTTTTTTGCTTTTGCCCCTTTGTCTTCTTTCTTTCGTGTCCCCGACTGTGACATGTATATGACTGATGATGGTCTATTTGGCTAATGCTTCGACTTCGTGGTTTAAACTAGGTTAGTTCTGTCTGCATCACTAATCAATTTTATCCTGCAACCACTCTGGACAAACGGGTCTTCTGGGAACATATTATTCATATGCCACTTTGAGCAGCAATAAACATGACAGAAAAGCCAAGTCTTGTCCGTCTTTGTCCTTTTTGTTCGGACTTGTTGGATTCCTACCCATAAGAAGTCACGTTGTTATGTGGCCGTTCAAATCTGCTTTGAGGACAATAAGCTCCTGCGATCTTAGGAGTCAAATCTCGGAATTTTTCAAACAATTCTCGTGACATTGCCGGGAAGTCCATGCGCCGCTCTTCTGGAGTTTGTTCATCCACGGACTCATACATCCTCAGCGGTGAAATAACCAGTACCTCTCACTACTCGCAAACACGGTTCTGTATGAGAACGGTGCTGGAATAGTGACATGATGCATCCACATAACGCATAAGACATGATATCAACCAACAGCATACAGGCCGCTTCCCTTTCTTTTTGATGCACTCTTCTCCTCCGCGCGTGGATGGATACAACACGCCCGCTTCTCCGAGATGTCATATTCTTTATTTACGCAGGCAGTGAATCCGACTTTTTCCCTGCCACAAGTAGCTGCTGGGCGATTAGCCGACGAGAGGCTAAGGGGGGGAAACACCATGGGTGGTGACTACCAGCAGTATAGTTTGTGTCATCCACGAGTTGTCCCAGACCGGAACACTCTAAGTATGGTAACATAAATAGACATTAATCACACGTCTGCCGAAGCACTGGTCACAGACAAATGAGCTATCCCAATGTCCAAGATGGTCAGACTATTTGTGCATTAAGATTGATTTACTTCTCGCAAATTTGCCTTCTGCCGACATGTTTGTGACGTACATTCCATTCCGATCGAGGCCAATTTCTTCGATCGTTTCTACCAATATACACTATCCGACCAGAGGAACGAGCTTAGTGACCTTGAGGCCGTGAAAGTCACGGGGTTTATGTAAAGAGAAGGAAAGGCGGCGTCCAAGTCTTGTCGTTACTTATACCAAACGGAGTATTGTGACCACAATCAACGACCAAGGATGAACATGAAATATGCCAGCAAAGTCCTAAGGGATTCATTGGTCGGGGAAACATATTCATCTTTTGAATACATGTGTGACTCATGACGAACTCTCACATAGAGGTTGGCCCATCGATATAACCGTACCGACACTCTTCCAAGTGTCTGCTTGGCGAGCAGAAGCAGATGGGACGGCCTTCGAGTAGGCGCCGACATCAACTGCCAAGCATGAATGGTTAGAGTGGTATTTCCTCCGATGTTTCCAAGTCTGGATACGTTAATATGAGCCGGCGAGTATATGGTGTCGCTTGGACCACTTATTGACTGTTTAATCCAAGTGCGTCGAGAGTGATGTAAGGCCAGGATATATGTAACTAATATTGAGAAAGAGAGATATATATAAAAAAAAGAGAGAGAATACTTTTGTTGTAATAGTTCGAGTTACATCCAATTGCGACATAATGGCTGACCGGGATCCTTCTGCCGATATTTTGATCTATCAGTCAGTCAGTCAGTAAGTCATCAGTCCTATTCAATGTTCTTTACATACCTTTTACCTTAGTACCTACATGGAAGACGGTACGCAATACTACATAACCTAGTTCAGTGGTGGTGGGGCTTATGCAGATCGCGTGAAGCGTCAAACATTTGGAGGCCCCGTCCTCACGTGGCTTGGTTGCTTGGCAGCGTTCTGTGCCGAGACGCTTGCCAGGAGCTCGCCAGGAAGCCAGAGCCAGAGGCCCCTTGGGCCTTGACTCTTTGAGCCCTTTGGCATGTCAGGGCTTGTCTCCATCATGGCCCCAGCATTGCTACTGAAGTCCGCCAATCGCAGGTGCCATCATCATGTTGCTGCTGCGATTTTTGCTTTTCTCGCCCCTATTCTTTCGTTGCCCTATCGCTGAAACAGCAAGCGGGTTCTCCCCTCTTGAACTACGTATCTCGGAGAATCTCATTGGAACTCGATGATAAAGTCTCCGAAACCGCTAGGAATAAAGATTTGCAGATCTGCCTTTACCTGTACTGTGTACCTAGGTACGTCTATGACTGTGTGTGTAGGTAGTAGTTTTGAACAGGCTTGACACGCCTACGTATGGCCCGCGCACTCTCCTACTTGGCCACTGTGGTTTTGATTCATTGTATGGAGTCGGCCAGTAGTAAAGTTATAGGACTGGTTGCGTACTCTGTACCTTCCTACTATAGATATTTATAGTAGGTGCAAAATGCTATAACATCCTTTCACATCAACTTGACTTATTAACGCGTCCAAATTCCAAGTTTTATGATCCAGCGGCGGCTCATGCACTCAGTGCTTATGACTTTTGACCAGGTACCATATAGAGAGCAAATCATATAAAGGAAGGAAATCCTAGCAGAGGCTGGCCGCCCTTTAGGTCGAGGACATACACTTTAGATTGGGTAATAAGTCCTAGTCTTGCCAGGCAGTCGTCGAGCGATGGGAAAGGAAGATACCGAATAAATTCAAGATTCTGTTGAAACTCTGAGGACCTACGAAAACGTGAGAAGAGCCAAACGTTACTGTGAGATGGAAGGCTTCATCATTACAAGCGTTGATACGGTACGTATGACAAGGTTGTTAATACAGGTATGTGCGTATTTCATATCTACACGTCAACCAAGCTGTTGGCAGCAGTTCCCAAGCTCGTCAAGGAAGCAATAGTCCTGGTCCTGTATTAAGGCACCAAGGGCGCGACCTACCCGGGCAAATCCTGTCATGGATCGATCAATCGGATTCTGTTGAAAAAAGAATGACCAAGCTGACCTACCCACGGCCTGTTGCCAACGAGCCACAACCTTTCCAGGTCAGCTCGCAGGTCCATGTCACTCAGCATCCGCTTCCTCCAACATCTCACTTAATGCATCCATGCATATTTACCTGCCTAGGTACTGAGAGGTAGCCATAGCCCTTCCTTTTTTTTCCTAATTTTTCCTTCCTTATTTGCTCTCTCTCTATCTCTCTTCTTTTTTCGGTATTGCCCTCTGGCTTTCTAGATGCGGAAAATAGTATTGAGATAAAAGCAAAGGAAATTCCAGCTTGAGGTACATTCAGGCCCTAGCGCGCCAGGCACCTTGTGGCAAAGCAATCACCATCCAAAACCATCTGATACAAATACAGCTACCTGGTAGGTGCCTATGCACCCTTGAGCTTAAACGAGGTAGGCCTATCTACAGTGTACCTACGCTATTTCCAATCATCACTACATATTCCCTCGGGCTCTATTTGCATCGCTTATTTATGCTCCGCTGGACGTTGTAAGCAGCGAATCACTCGCCCATTAGGTAAATTGGTGTGTGCTCTGGCAGCCATTTTGAAATCTACCTACTCAATCACAATCAGACGTGCAGGTACGTTTCATCAGACGCTGTTCCGTCCAATGCCTACCTACCTACTCCATCATCACGTTCGATTACTAGAAGGAGGCAGATAGGTGGCAGGAGAATTTCCATCTTGTGGCGGCGCCCTTCTCCGCAGCTCAGATCGCCCGGTCACTCGCTGGAGCCTACCACATGTGCCCAGTGCCCGGTCTGCCTTAATCTAGACCACTCTACATTAGGTACAGACTGCGGACCCTGACTGACTAAACCAACCCAGCCCCCCACCCGCGACGACCAAACGGCCGTCGACGATAGCTGTGTGCTCACACATTGCACACACACACACACACACACACACCCGTCTCAATCACCCTATCCATCATCCACGTATTCTCCGACCTGTCTCGATGCAGACCTTTTCCCACGCCTTGTAGAGTCCCGTCAGGCATATCGACCCTACAGCCTATTGACCCGTGCGACCTTTGGCCCCGGTCGCTGAACAAGGTCCGCGCCCACCCTGCATTGACCGAAGGATCAGGCGCCGATAGCAGCATTTTTGCATGCTGGATTTGCAAAGACCTCTGGACCGCTAAACACTTCTCGCATGTCCGGCCCATCGCGCTCTGAACTCAGGCGCAGACCAGAACACCCGTCAACATGTTCTGGAGATTCGGCGGTTACGCCAACATCTCGACCATTGACACAATCCTCGAGAAGCCAGACTTCTCTCTAGAGGATCTCCTAGACGAGAGCGATTTGATACAAGAGCTTAAGCAGCACAATACGAAGCTCATCGAGTACCTGCGCGAGGATAAGGTTCTGCAAAAGCTTCTCGAATATGTCGTCGCACCCAAGCTCGAACCTGTCGAGAACCCTGATGAGGACAAGGAGGGAGACGAAGATAAGAAGAAGGGCAAATTAGTTCTGCCCTTTGGCCGCCCGCGTGCCTCATCCGGCGCCACCACCGACGGTGAGCACGATGAAGACGAGGGCGAGAAGAAGCGCAACCGCTATGCCTACGTTGCCGCCGAGGTGCTGTCTTCAGATAACTGGAGCATCTATGAGGCACTCATGGAAAGCACTTCGTTGCTTCGCGACTTTTGGAATTTTCTGAAACTGCCTGCCCCTCTCGATCCTCTGCAAGCAAGCTACTTTACAAAGGTCAACGAGTCCTTGTTTGATAAGAAGACTGAGGAGATGCTCGACCTTCTCAAGTCGCTTGATAGGGCTATTCCAGATATGCTGCGCCATGTTGATTGTCCCATGATCATGGATCTACTGCTCAAAATCATCAGTCTCGAGAGAACCGATTCGGGCCAGGGTATAGTCGAGGTATGTCATGATCTCCAGGGCACAGATTGTGCGCCCCCCTCCAAGTACCGTCACCAGGCATTAACCAAAAAAACTATATTTTCTAGTGGTTGTATACTAAAGATGTGATGCCCACGTTGCTATCCTTCCTCGGACCTGAACACAGTTGGGCAACCCAGACTTCGGCTGGCGACTTCATGAAGGCTATCATTACCGTATCGGCCAACGCCTCACAGAATGAGCAAGCCTGCATCGGACCTAACGAGCTCACCCGTCAGCTCGTCTCGAAACCCTGTGTCGAGCAGCTGATCGGTTATATGCTCGGCGGTGGCAACCCCTTGACAGTGGGCGTTGGCATCATTATCGAGGTTATACGAAAAAACAACTCTGACTACGATCCGGATGTCGGCCCCGATAACAACGCGGCTCCCTCTTCTCGGGACCCCATCTACCTAGGAACGCTCCTCCGCCGCTTCGCCGATCGAGTCCCTGATTTCATGAATCTTATCATGAATACCAATGCACAGAAACAGCGTATTGCCTCAACCTTTGACGATGACATCGAACCCTTGGGTTTTGATCGCTTTAAAACCTGTGAGTTGATGGCCGAGTTGCTGCACTGCAGCAACATGGCTCTGCTTAACGAAGTTGGTTCGGAGCAGGTCATCGCTCTGCGCGACCAGGAAAGGCGGAGACTGCGAGCTGAGGGCAAGCTCGTGCCTATCCGCACCGAAGAGGCACAGTCCTCCGCCGAGGATCTGACCATGCGTGGTCGTCACTCCTCGCCAGATGACAGCCGACGTCTAGAGATCACCAATGCCTCTGACGACGACGGCTTTGAGGAGGTCACACCCTCCGGCGATATGACAGAGGACACATCCCACGAATTTGTCAAGGCCGAGGACGAAATGCCATCAGGACCCATCTCTTCATTCTTGGACAAGGATGATGATGATGATTTTGTCGATGAACCACTCAGCTCACCGAGACTGCACGTCCAGGACGCTAAGGTCAATGACTTGCCAGATATTGAGAATCCCGACATGGTTGTTGCGCCACTGTCCCCTAAGAAGGTTGCTGCCGAACCTGCCGCTGCTCAGGTCGGCCAGACCGAGAGTAATGAAACGACATCTTCGGAAGACTCTGCCACAGCAGCATTGGATATCGCGCCAGTTGGACAAGAGGGTGTGGAAGCTACAAGCATCAGTGCCCCTTCATCAGAGAACACCGCAGAGGTGGCCGCAGCAGAAAGCCAATTGGCCGGTGATAAGCTGCAGGCAGAGCTAGAGTCGACCATTTCTGATCTGACAGCGAGCAACAAGGTTGAAATTCCAACCAAAGGGCTCGAAGGCGACTCTGAATCTACCCACACAGTCACTGGCGCAAAACCAGGAGCTATTGAGTTGGAAGCGACACCTGCCACCGACTCCGGCGACGGCTCCATTGTGGTGGGACACGATGCTGAGCAACCTACTCAGCAGCGCCCTATCAATGAATCGACTGAGCCAGTTGTGGGTGACTATCTCAAGATGCAATTTGTCGAACATAAGGTTGTCCCGACGATATTGGTGAGTCGACGTCTAACCCCCAGCACTAATATCCTGCTAATACTTTATTCCTTTACCCTCTGCTCCAGTCGTTTTTCTTCAAGTACCCATGGAACAATTTCCTTCACAATGTAGTCTATGATATTGTGCAACAAGTCTTCAACGGCCCTATTGATCGCGGGTTCAACCCGACTCTAGCGATTTCTCTATTCGAGGCCGCCGATATTACGAATGCCATTATAGATGGACAAAACCGCAGCGAGGAGTCTCAAGCCAAGAACAAGACCCGCATGGGCTACATGGGTCATCTTACCCTTATTGCCGAGGAGGTAGTCAAGTTCACGGAGCGCAACCCTCCGGAGCTCTTGTCCGAGCTGGTGCTCGACCGAGTCATGAGTCAAGATTGGATCAATTATGTCGAAGGCGCATTAGCAGAGACGCGCGAGAGAGATAATGCCATTCTCGGCGGTGTCAGGCCCGAGGTTGCCATGAGTAATCGTGCGGCAATGGCCGGAAACAATCTTGGTATGGCCCTTGGACAGATCGGCCTTGGTAGTACCCAGGGTTCGAATGCTCTTTCTGAAGCAGGTCTTAATGGCGGAGCAGACGACAATGGAAGTGCGAGTAGCTACGGCGGCGCCTTCGCGATTGGCGGTGGCATTGCTGGATCAGGCTCGGACTTTGATCGCAACTCTAGCGACGAGGACGAAGATTCGGAAGAGAACGAAGAGGACGCAGTTCATGAGGTAAGTCTTTATTAGTCACTAGTTCATCGTCCCAACCTTCGCGGGTACGTGCCCCTCCCCCTTATATTGTTTAATTATTCTTGCGTGCTACCAGGTGGAATGACTCTTGCTTGTCCGCGTGGCGGCTACTTGTTGCTTGTGGCTGTTTTGAAAGCCTACATGTGTTTTGGCCAATGGTCTGACAGCCAATAGTTCCGCTCCTATACGGGCTCTTTGAACGATCAATCGTCCCTGGATCCACCCTCAATCCCGCCTCCCCCGCCGCCCCCGCCGCCGTTGAATGTTCCGCCGTCTCGCGCCCGTTTGCAATTGGCGGCCCGCCTAGCTATGCACCAGAAGAATAGTGCGGGTGCTTCTGCTCAGTCTGCTCATATCGAGGGTGGCGACGATGAGGACGAAGATGGTGATTTGCAACTCACAAGAGAGCCTGACAGCATTCTACGGAATCCATTTGAGGACGATGCCGAAGATGTTGACGACGATAGCGATGATGGTCTAGGTGGAGACGAGAACTCGGCCTGGAACTCTCATGGACGCGGTAGCTGGTGGCGAAGTGCGCTCTCGCGGAACCGGCAAGAAAAGTTTGGCGATGGGCGTGACGATTCTGACTCGGACAATGACGACCAAGGCGACGAAGAAGACGAGGAATTCGGCGATTTTGCCATGCCTGAAGAAGAAGCCCACAATGAGAAGAGCAATGTCATTGTGAAACCCCTGCCGGTTCATCCTCCCAATCAGAACCAGAAAAGTTCAGCTTTCACAAGTCTATGGCCGTTCAGTAGTCAAGGTTTCGGATCCAAGGACAAAGAAAAGGAGAAATCAAAAGAGGGGGACTCTGAGAAACCGGAGCACGAGGAGATCAGCAGTGATGATGGGGGAAAGATTAAAAGCACCCATGAGGCCAAGGCACGGTCGAGTATCGAGGACCCTGACGATGAGGAGGTTGTCGTCTAGGACACTTGTTCTATTTGATGTTTCCCCGACCTAGTGATACGTGGCGGGGAGGGTTTGAGGCATTTTCAGCCTCGTTACCATTTGACTTGTTTGCACGAAGAATGTCTGGCAGGACAGGGATAGAGAGATTCGCTGCTGAGCATGAAATGATATGGAGGAAATACCGCGTCTAGAAAGACGTTGCTTCTTGGTATGGCGCGGAGGTCGCAGGCACCGTTATGGGATTTATGTATAATAAATGTGTTTCTAGGATTGCCGCCCAAGGCGGTTGTACTGCGTGTATAGTACTCGGAAGGTCTGTCTTGATGAAGCTGTTGTTTCTTTGCGACTTTGTTATCGTGACCGCATACGTGATTTGAATCTGTGAGTTGCTAGCAAACATGAATGGGTTCCGAGGTGCCACTTTTGATCGCATATTATGACCTTGAGGCAAGTAGACGGACGGTATATCCCTTGTCATTCTCCGATACCGGGGCGGTCTTAATATCGGAAGTTCCGACTCGGTCATGTTCACTTATGTAGGAGGTTAGTCACCAGAGTCTAGAGCACCTAAGTAGCACGCATAAAACATAGCTATATATACATACACCTATACAACAAGATATTCAGGCACTGCCCAACTACATTGCCCGGGCAATAGCAAAGGGAGCTGACGAACTGGCTACTGGCTAATTACACATCTCTCCTCCTCCACCTCATCCAACAGCATTATTGGTTCTTTCCAGAGAAGAAGAAGAAAACATCAACATGTCTACTAGTGTACCACTGGGCGAGGTGCTGGACAATGCCGGACCAGCCAAGAGTCCAGAGCATTTGGCAATTGATGGAGAGTATACGAGACTCGAACCCGTCGCTACAAGACACGCATCAGCACTGTATCAGTGCCTGTGCCGAGACTCGCCCGTGGAGACGTGGTCGTACATGGCCGCCGGACCTTTTACCGGCGAGGAAGCGTTTACCAGGCAAATTGAAAACCTCGTTGTCTCAAAGGACCCGCTGTTCTTTACGGTCATGACCCAGGTGGACTTGCCCGGACTTGCTGCTGGCAGTCCCGTGGGCTACCTGAGCCTGATGCGCATGGATGAGAAGAATCGAGGAATCGAAATTGGCAACGTGACATTTTCGGCGGCGCTGCAACGTACCACGGTGGCGACAGAGGCACTCTTTTTGGCCATGCGGCACTGTTTTGAGGCCTTGGGCAATCGGCGGCTCGAGTGGAAGTGCGACAGCCTGAATGCCAAAAGCCGACGGGCAGCGCTACGGTACGGCTTCGTGTTTGAGGGCATCTTTAGAAAGCATTTCATTGTCAAGGGCCGTAACCGCGATACGGCTTGGTTCTCCATTGTGGACAATGAGTGGCCGACGATCAAGGGTGCGCTAGAGGCTTGGTTGAGGGCCGAGAATTTCGACGAGAATGGTCGACAGAGGCGAGGTTTGGTAGAAATCCGCAAAGAGCTGGAGTCAAGCCGTAGTAGAACGGTTTGACGAGCTTTCAATTTGGTAGAGACGGCCAAGTGAGAGTACATGGTTGAAAATAGAATCGGCTTACCTATATAGGTATATTACTAGTTAGTACTGTTATATATTTGATGACGGCGAGCAAGCCAAATAGGACTACTAGCTCTGCGATTATCATGATTATACTGCATGACATGCCACCAAATGCCAAGGTGGAAAGCTGACGTGGTTTGTATGTTGTTTGGGACAGTCGAATCATATCAAATCAATTTGCGCATCCTTGCCAAAGGAATCACGATAATATTACAAGAGAGAGAGAGAGAAAAGCAAAACGCTAAAGTACGTGGTAGGTGGGTACTTAGATTCTCGGAAACTTTTCCAGTCTTCCTAGACTTGTAGCGATCATATGCCTGAAAAAGTGTCCGAGGGAGCATTTAATCCAGTCCACAGACCACCCAGTCCTTTTGAAACCTTGACTTGGCCTAGGATACATCCATACAAGCCTATATGTTTACATACTTGCCTGCTTATATATTGAGCGACGACTAGTAGCAACGACGACAACGACGATACAAGAAAAAGAGATGGAAGAAAAGAAGTGGCCATGGAATTTTCGCTACCTCCACGACAAGAGCTTCTCACCTCACGGGGCTACCGTTATTCGTATGTGCATATCCCGAGCTCAATAATCGCCAAACCTACTCTGCTATTAATTCACGGCTGGCCATCTCATATCGACGACTGGGTCTTCCAGATACGTTATTTCACTGCTAGAGGTCATGGCATCATTGTTCCAGATATGCTTGGCTACGGCGATAGCAGCGCACCATCGGATGCCAGCGCATACCGTCTTAGTCTGATTGCCCGTGACCTGGGTGAGCTTCTTGACCAAGAGCAGTTGCAGAGGGTGGTGGGTGTTGGTCACGACTGGGGTGCGACGATCCTCTCCCGCTTTGCCATGTATAACCCTGAACGTCTGTCGGCTCTGGCTTTCTTGGGGATCGGGGCTTCCAGGCCGGGAACCATGTTCGACCTTGATGCTATCAACGAAATGACCAAGAAGGCGACGGGATCTGAGATGCTGGGATATGTCGCGTACATCAGCCGCAACCCCGACTCTCATTGCGCTATGGAGCGTAACTCCGAGTCCGTCATGAGTGTCCTCTTTGCCGCGGATCCAGAGTGCTGGAACCGTCACCTACGCCCCTTTCATGGGTTCAAGTCGCTTGTCCAAGACGGTGGCGGCCAGGTCATGGGGGATTGGTTTCCGCGGGAACTGCGCGAGAGGCACCTGAGTGTTTTTGGGAGAAAGGACGGCTATCTGGGCGCTTCCCAGTACTACAAGATGCTCGATCAGAATCTGTCAGTACCCGATGAAGAGCACTTGGTGGACTTTACGATTGAACAACCCGTGTTGCTTGTAATACCAAGAGAGCCCGCTGAATCAAGCCAGATGCAGTCCCAGATGCTCTTTGCTTGGGTTTCAGAAATGAATGTAGTACAGGTTGACTCTGGTCATTGGGTGCACATGGAGAAAAGCGCAGAGACAAATATTGCGTTGGAAGAGTTCTTGGTAAAACATACCGAAAGACAGAGAGCTAGCTTCTAGTGATAGATGGCATATTTCCACAATAGAAACAACAACAAGGGACAGGGTGTTCATATAGTCTGAGATGTCCCAAAGATCATGAGATTTTCCCCTTCAAGGTTCTATCGAATCATGTGGCGGTTCTACTCTTCTCCACGCGAAGACAAGAGTCTGGGTTAGTCAGCTAATTGCAAGCAAAACGCGATGCCAAAGTCTACGTATATATGAGTTTGCAGACTCGATCCTATTGGCAACGCAATTGATCCTTGGACTTGGCGCTACCATTGGTACAACTTAATGAACGCCCAAGATCTCAATGCTCAATTCTGTCTTTGACTGGTTCAGAGGGGGCGGGAGTGTTTTCCGCTATTCAACGCGCCAGAGTATTCTTGTTTACTAGGTATTCCTCTCGGTCCTTCACCCTTCACTCTACGTTAGTAGTTCAACCGGGGGAAAGACAAAGAGGGAGAGAAAGGCGTGTTTGCTGACGTACATGCGGAAGAATTGGGCCGTCCACGCTCGCTCATCGTTGCAACGAATACGCAACGAGACTCAATACTAACGGCCGATCAACCGAAACCCCCCGCCTTGGAGTGACACTGCGACGCTGTGACGTTGGGGGCCAGGTACCATCGCCAATCACTGAATGGAATCATTATATAAGTCGTCTGTCCATATGCACCTCCTTGAAGGTAGGAAGGCAGTTGTACATTGAACATTGAGCAGATAAAGACATAATTTATCGTTCAAGATGATGTTGCTTCGAGTGTCTCTTTTCGTCTCTGCCGTTCCAGCACTTCGGCTGAGAGATGATTTCTTTGACATTGCAATTGATGATGACACTGGGGCCATCGTATCTATTCGTAATCCTAACGTTGACTCTTTAAACTGGGTCAGTTCACCAGACAATGTACCATGGTTACCGCTGTCGAGCCGATGGGGCCTGGGATACGCAGACATAGGCGCGGCATCGCTCCATCGTGGATATTGGTCTCATGCATCGGTGGTCTCTGATGCTGCAACCACACAGAGCTCGTCATCTTACAATGTTGGCACGCTCAACGTCACGGTGGAAAGAACACTGGACAGTTCGAGTCAGTCCTTTGGTGAGAGCTTCACTTTTACCAATATTGGAAACTCCAGCATTAGCCTGCAGCAGGCTTCCAAGCAGTCCTTGGCCATATATACGCCATTCAACGATCACTACACAAACTCCCTGGATGTGCAAGCCAACCGAACCCACGCGCATATCTGGGCCAACGGCCTCACCTCGTCGTGGATCAAGACCACACGCATGAACGGCAATGGCCCACACCTGGGTCTGGTCATCACTGCGGGCAGTCTGAGGGGATACAGCATTGAAGCCCGGGACACGGTCACCTCGTCCAACACGCGGGGCGTCATCCTGGTACATCCAGTCGTGCCAACGTTGGAAGCTGAAGAGTCGACAACCCTGAGCTGGACACTGTTTTGGCATGACAGCTGGGACGACTTCTTCAACAAGGCTGTTGCTCTGTCGGACCAGTTTATCGAATTCAACGCCACATTGTGGACCGTCTTTCCAAACGAGAACACCACTATTACCATGAAGGGTGCCGTGAACGACACCACAGTGGTGGCGGGCACCCCCGTCACTGCCTTGTCCGACGGATCAGGATATGCTGTGACCTTGTCCTGGAGTTCCATAGGAGAGAAGTCCCTGACAGTATCAACGGGCCCTGCTGGATCAACCAGGAATTCGACCATTGTCGTCAATGTAGTTCCGGACCTAGACGGACTTGTCGCCAGCAGGACACAGTTTATTGCTTTGAACCAGCAGATGCCAAATCAGAACACGACCCTGGATGGGGCTTACGTAGTATATGATACCCAGATCAACGGACGCGTCACGTTCGACACAGCCTCTGATCGAAACTCTGGCCGGGAGAGAGTTGGTATGGGGGTGCTGGTGGGAAGGCAGCTGGTGGACACGGCGGATGCCGACCTGGAAAGCTCATTGATCGACTACTACCGCTTCGTGTGTACCCAACTGCAGCGAGACGATGGGTACGTGTACAATGGGCCCGGCGTGCAAAGTCTCCGTGTGTACAACTTCCCATGGGTGGCGCAGCTACATTTGCAAATTGCAAGGTCCAACATCACATTGCCCGATGATCTCGCTTCACCGACACCACTAGAGCGGTTCATGCTCACGCTCGAGAGCATGTATGCCAATGGGGGAGCCGACGCTTATCCCATCGGGGTGCCTGTCTACGAGGGCCTTGGTTTGCTCAAGTCTGCCGGCAACGAGACTGCTTATGAGCGAGCTCTTGAGCTCTTTGTCGCCCACGGAGAACGAATCGCAAAGATTGGTACAAACTACCCGGCCGGGGAGGTCAACTATGAGCAATCTCTCGTTGCGCCAGCAGCTATTCTCCCGCTAGAGTTGTATTTGCACACTGGCAACGAGACGTGGATCGCGGTTGCTGAACCTCATTTCGGTCTGCTCGTCCAGTTTGGCGGTCGCCAGCCAGACTATCACCTGCACGACATTGCCATCCGCCACTGGGATGGATACTGGTTTGGCAAAGACCGCATGTGGGGGGATGTCTTTCCTCATTATTGGAGCACATTGACTGGGCTTGCCATGCACTTTTGGGGGCTTGCTACCAATGACACTTCTTACATAGACCGAGCAGAAGGCATCATGAGGGCGAATCTGGCCCTCTTTGCTTCCGACGGAAGTGCTTCATGTGCCTGGCTCTACCCGCTGACCGTCAACGGGAGATCTGGGCATTACAAGGATGCTTACGCCAACGACCAGGACTGGGCCTTGGCTCACTACCTCCAGTTGCAATCATTTGTAGCCTGGTAATATCTATCCAAGATAAACCTCGGGGCGGGAGGATTCCAGTGATGCGGATCACTCTTATGGCCCTACGTAGCATGGAGAATAAAGAGACAAAAATACACGTAGACTTATTCAAATAATGGCTAATTTTTAATTAAGGAAATATAACAATATTTATATTTCGTAAATGCATCTCATTCGCACTTTATCAAAGCAATAGTAATCCATGGCGCCGAGGTGATTACAATGTAGGTACGTATGTGGTTTAGCCCGGCCTATTAATGAATCCTACGACGAGAAAACCCGAACCGACCAATCAGCAGCTTCTTTCGATAAGCCTGTCGTTGAATCAGTATAAGTCAGTATCCAAGACCCGTAGTAATGTGCTCGGATACCCCTTTCCTATCAAGAGCTGAAGGAAGGATCGCGATGATGCAAGCTGTTGCAAGTACCCACTGCAGATCACCTATTTGTGTATATTAAGTGGCTCTCCGGTGCCGAGGGTTCCCTCTCTCTTTTTGTATTTCGATAGAATCAACTTGGATACTTCACGCACTTGATAAGGATTTATATCCTGGACGTCGAATGAATACGGTCTCGTTGATTCGCCTTCTCTGAAGACGACCACTGATGAGAAGTCGATTACCAAACCAAGCGAGGACCTTGAACTGCCTACTTCATTCGCGATGGTGGTTTCTGACTTGGACAGCTCAGAGGAGCTTATGATCCGCTTGCCTAACTTGTTCACTGACGTTATGGCTGGTCAATATGCTAAAAATGTATTCTATGAGAAGGTCAAGTCAGTGGCCGAACGTTGGATAGAGCAGTATGTCAAGAGGGTATGATGGTACGACATTGTCAAATTCTCGCTGACATGAAGCTTTGTCGCGTAGGACACTGAAGATGGATGAAAAGGCCGTCGAAAGAAACAAAAAGGCCGACTTTTGCCTGCTGAGTGCCCTGTGGACTCCAGAAGGGGATGAATGGGGCTTGAGACTCGTTACTGATTGGAATCATTGGGTCGGTAGTCACTTCACTCCTCGTCTTCACATATTATTGATCCCATCTACTGACAAACGTTGTACCCATGCAGGCGTTCCCGTGGGATGACCGTAAGCTCTTACTGATAACTTATTGTTGAGAAATCATTATAATGATGCTCGTATCTAGAGTTTGATGAAGGCCATCTCAAGCTCGATGCGCCAAAGGCGGCAGACGAAGTTATGAACACCCTGGCAATCCTTGACGACACACAACCACTGATCTCAACCGAAGAAAACCCTATTAGCCACGCGTTCCAGACTGTGTGGCTCCACTTCAAAGAAGTAAGACATTCAACTGTGGTATTGGTGTGGCGTATGTCTCTTTTCTGACGAGTTTTCATAGAGAAGCACAATTGGTGATATTACTCAGCACAATTTTCACTTATTGGTCACTAATGAATGGTACAGATCAGCAAGACCGCTTCAGAAAGCTTCACAGAAAATATATGCTGGGATGCCTGAAGCAAACTTTGTGGGCGAGTGCAGGATACCCGAAGATCACAATCGAGGGCTACGTCGAGTATAGACGAGGCTCCATTGGTGCATATCCTGCCTTTGCTGTAGTCGAGTAAAAGAGACGCCTACATCTCTGGTGCCGCCCATACACTGACCACAACGCAGGTGTGCGATGGGTGTCGAATTACCGCGCATGGTCACGGAGCACCCGTCCATTGTCGCATGTGAGGAAGCCATGGTAGATACCATTTTCCTGTGCGTGGCCAAGAAACTTTGTCGACGCAGATCCAAACTGACAGGTCTTCACAGCCACAATGATCTCTTGTCTGTGCGAAACGACCTGGTAGCAGCACAATTTCCCATCATGTCTTCGTTGACAGACCCACAGACTGCTGACCAATGTTCAGAAAAACGGCGTCGAGCATAATATCGTGATTCGGCTATGCGATGTGGGCCTGACCATGCAAGAGGCTGTAGATAGGGTCGGAGAAATGCTCCAGGGCTGCTTCGAGAAATGGCACACTAGTAGGGCACAGATACCGTCCTGGGATGGGCTCATCGATCAAAATGTGCATAAGCTCCTGAATGTCTATAGGGATTTGGCACTAGGAAGCCTCTACTGGAGGTGAGTTCTGTCCGCTACGTCCTAATTTGCCCTTGCTAACGGACCATTCAGTTATGAGACTGGAAGATATGTCATTCCAGGCAATGAGAAGGGTGAAAAGGTCGAAGTCCTCATGTTCCCGCCAGCGGAGAGGCATTGAGTTTCCTGTGCTGTGCCCCTGAGTACACCTTCCCGCGCAAGATGGCCGCTTCTACCTTGTTTTCCCTTGGTGTCTCAAGACCGATGTGGTGTAGAAACATAGCCAACGTTTTTGTGTGTCATCTCACACAAAACTCGAACAAATTATAAAATCTTTTTTTGGAGGTATCCGAGCAGCATAAATATCTGGACGTTGCACTCTGAGGCCGGTTTTCACACAGCATCCTTGTTCGCCTTGACCGATACACACACCATGGAGTGAGCAAGTGTGTCGAGGATGCTTTCAGCTGCCCCAAGGAAGCAAGGTTGACTACATGATATCTTTTAATGACGAGCTTCAAACTGCCGATCACACCGCAATCCTTACCCAGTACAAAGACGACCCGATGACCTGGTTAGCTGCTGTTACGGTTGAGGCAATGAGAACTACTCCTACATGAACAACTTGCTTAGTCTGGAGGTAATAATTCGCAGTCTGTCGTTGCCACATTTGGTTTTACTGATTGATTAGCACGTGTTGAACATTGCAGTTACGACAACGACTGACATATATATATATATATATATGAGGAAATGGAAATGGGATCTGTGTGTATAAAAACATTTGTTGATTTAGTTTGCTGTTAGGATAGAACTCTATACTGTTCGTCTCCCTCCCAACTCATGCTTCGATGACACATTCGTGGAATTAGTAGAAACTGGCAAAAAAATGTAAAACATACAACACCAGGTATTCCCCAGCCGTCACCGATCTGAGTACTAATCCGGCCGTCTCCAGTTTATCTAGGGCAGAGCGGACGGGATGCCGAGTTTTCTAGAGCGTATGGTCGTATGTGCAGGTTTTGCCAAATAAGGTAAACTATATCCATTATACCAAGGAATATTCTGGTAAACATCGTCGACGGTTCACTCAACGAATCCAAGCCGAAGAAGCCTGGTACACGTCCACAGGCAGAGACTTCCAATGACTGTCCCACACTCTACCATCCTTAATCACAGACACCAGACTCTTCTCAGGGTTCCCAAGGATGCTGACATTTTGCAGCGGGTTATGATTCAATATGACCAGGTCCGCCGCGAAACCTTCCTTGATCTGGCCAAGGAAAGCCTCCTGACCTAGCATCTGAGCCGGGTTCACCGTTGCGGCCCTGAGCACATCGGCATTATCTAGGGCCCTCTGACGGATGGCGAACTCGCCACTCTGTTCTGCTGTCAAGGGACCCAAAAGATCGCTGCCATAGCACATCCTGACACCGGCAGCCTGGGCAATCTCAAGGCTCCGGAGCCCCTTCTCCAAGACTTCCTTATTCTTTGCTGCGTTCTCGGGCGGTAAAAAGCCCTTGTACTTTTCCGTCTTGGCCATGGCCTCGTACGTGACCAGCGTCGGCGTCAACCAGGCCCCACGCTCCGCCATGAGCCGCGCTGTCTCCTCATCAATCAAATTGCCGTGCTCAATGCCCTTGACGCCATTGGCGACGGCGTGACGAATGGCCCGCGGTGTGTAGGCATGAGCAGTGACAAAGGTGCCGTACGACTCGGCCACCTCGACAATGGCCGCGATCTCGGCTGACGTGAACTGCGTGTTGCTGAGCTTGTCGCTCGGCGAGGCGACGCCGCCGCCTACCATGATCTTGATGAAGTCGGCGCCCGTCCGAAGCTGCTCACGTGCAGCGCGGATACACTCGTCCACCCCGTCGACAACGACGCTGAGACCCCCGTCCGCCTGCTGTCCGCCGCAGCATAGCGATCCCGTGTGATCGTGCGGTCCCCTCCTATCTCCGTGCCCACCCGTCTGACTCAGCGCACGGTTGGCAATGAACAGCCGGGGCCCTGGAAACACATCGTCGGCAATAGCCTCCTTGAGAGCCAGCGTCGCACCTCCACAGTCGCGCAGAGTGGTGAAGCCCCGCCTCAGGCTCTGTAATGCCACAAATGGCTGACGAAAGTGGCTTACGGCGGCATCATCGCCCATGCTTCCGTCGAGCGACGGAGAGCCCGGCACCGCTGCCAAGTGGACGTGGGCGTCGATGAGGCCGGGGCAAAGGTACAAACCTGTGCAGTCTATCACAATGCTGTCTTCATCTTCATCGATGGGCGCCGGCGGTTTGTCCGCATATCGGACATGTTCAATCAGACCGCCCGAGATCTTGACCCAGGCATCGGCACGGATCCGCCCCGCAGCCGGGTCAACAACGAGAGCGTTGGCAAAAGTATAAGACTTGCGAGGCGGGAGCTTCCAGGGCCTGATTAACCTTTCTGTATTGTCGGCCGCGATTCTCGAGCCCCCAGGCTGCATTTCATCTCGCGGCTGTCTGGCACCGGCCAACGCAATCTGTAGCAGCGTCATTGATGCCTTGAATATGTATCTACGCCTGGGGAGGCAATGAAATAATCGCGTCTTGATTGTGAAAAGGCGCCGGGCGGATTCACGACGGATGTATGTATATACCAGCAGCAGCACTGGGCAGATAGGTATGTAGATTAGATATGTACCAAGATGCGTGCGCAGACAAATCGGCTATCTGCCATGTAGTAGCCCCACCGACCTACCAATGATCCGACGGCAAATATACAATATTGGAGAATGGGAGAATTTACACACATTTACAAAGAAGGACAAGGACGAGGACGAGGAAACGGTCTACAAGAAAGAAAAAAGACCTGATCACTTGTCAAAAGAGACACACATTGCAATGGTCTGCGAGGACAAGTTCTTTTATTCCTTTTTCTTCAATAGCAGGGCCTGTCCCAACTAGACCACTCAAACAACTTTTCTCATTATAACATCTACAACAGCCTCTACAAAATGAGGCTCAATGACAAGGGGTATGGTTTCCGATTGACGCCACGAAAATGCATGTATCAAGCCAGAAACGCTCTACAGGTGTTTCCATATTCCATCGTACCACAGAGAAGTATGTGTCAATCGAAGGTCACCGCCTCATCTGCTCGCTTGGCAGGGACGGACTGGGGCAGCTTCCGACCACTGATGATTAAGCGTGCACGAGGGGGCAGAAACTTCTGTATCTCTTCATTGCTTGTTCCCAAGGCTCCATGCGGGAGCTGGAAGATCCAAAGCGGAGAGTGCCCATGATCCTCAAGGCCGATTGAAACCTTGCTTGGCCTGTAATCATGTTAGTTTGGACCACACGAGTATCGGACTATTTGCTTGCTTTACCTTCATCTGTTCTATCCGGGCCTTGAGTTGACTAGTCACCTCGGCTGCACGTTTCCAGCTTTCAACCCCATTGCTGCTGCTGTTGCCACCGCCAGTTGCCGTTGAGCTCGCTATCGATGACGTTCCGCCGGCGCCGGCATTATCATCAATAGGTGTACTCCGGTAGCCGCGAGCCGGACTGCCGCGGCCACTCGATCCACTGCCGTATCGCAACTCTGGACTCATCATCTTGTTTCTAGGGTAGCTTGGCGGGGGGTCGCCATTTTCTTTTTCCTCGGAAAATGTGCTGGCGAAACTCGACCTAGTCGCTCTACCACCCGGGAAACCACCGCCATCACGGTATATGCCCATGTCATCATGCGTCGGGCTGCCAAGACCAGGACTGACGACCCCTGAGTTCGCGCTCGCAGCCTCGGCCTTGCTCAGTGCCCTCTTGAGACGCTCAAGCTCGCGTCGTAGCCGCTCGTTGGTCTGTTCCGCTGCCTCGGCATCGCTGCGTGCTCTGACAAGTTGTGTCTCCTTTGCCTTGATGCTGAGCACATCTCTTGTGTGGTCCTCAATGAGTTGTGCGTTCTGGTTCTTGAGCTCCTGGATTTCAGAGGCCAGCTTGCCCCTTTCCTGGCGCATCTCATCGGCCTGTCGCAAGAGTCGCTCATTGGCATTCCGCAATTCCTCAAGCTCGGCGCGTTCCATGGCGCTGAAGCCGCTAGTTGGAGGTGGCGAGGTAGACACGGGTGGTGCCGCAACGGGCGCAGCCGGCTTTGCCAAAGATCGTCCGGCAAGACCGCCTCTTCCAAGGCCGATTCTTGGCCGTGGCGGAGGCGAAGCTTGCACGGGCTCTTCGTCTTCCATCGGGGGTGGCGGTGCTGCTGCCGGGGCTCTTCGCGGAGAGGCAAGTCCGCTGGGGCCGGCGAGACGACCACGCGGGGCTTTCAAGCCACCCAACGCGGTCTTGGGCGCGGCAATCTTGTTTGCAGCCGGAGCCGGCCTCGAGGATGGCTGCGGTGCAAGCGGTGCTGCATCGGCAGGAGCCGCAGCGGCAGCTGGTGGTGGCTTCTTGAGTCCTGCTGGGGCCTTCCTGGCACCACCGACAACCTTTTTCGGTCCACCAGGTGGAGCGCGGGTTGCAGGCGCCGGCGGTGGCTTTGGTTTGTCTTTAGCCTTGACTTCGGCTGTCTCAAAATATTCCTTGATCTTGTTTTTGCGAATGTCGTCAAGGCCTTCAAGATGCGGATTCATGGCGCGCTCGCCAATAATCTTCATGACAGTTCCCAGGACTTCAGCACCGCCAGAGCGCAGTCCTTCACTTGATTCTGCCAAGAGCTTCTTGGCGAATTCAACCAGGGTTGCAATCTCCTGCTTGCTCGGCACATCACGGGTAGTCCTCAGACACCGGACGAGAAATTTCATGGTGCCCTCCTTGACTTGAGGGTTCTTGTGAACAAGGAACGTGGTGATATCCTCCATGCATTCGCTCAGGTCTGTGGCCAGGAAGACCTGGTCGAGTGCTGCACCGAGAGCGTCGGCTACCGACGCCTTCTTCTCTTTTAAGCGCTCCATGATGGGTGCCATGACGACGGATCTGTATTTTCCATAACTCTTTCGTAGACCCTGGGCCAAGACCTCGATACATTGGGCTGCCTGGGTGACGACAGCGATGTTGGCATCTTTCATGCATTTCGCAAGACCGCGGTTGATCTCTCCAAAGTCTCCATCTTTGATTCTCGGCACATTGAGAAGCGCGTACAGGGCTTCCAGTGCCTCCTTGCGTTCTTTCCACTTTGACGAGGCGAGATTCTCGTGGAAACTGGCAGGAACCTTTGACAGGACCTCTTGCGGCTCGGCCAGATCGAAGGCATCGACCTCGCCGGGGTCTTCTCCAGCGTCGCCCTCGTCGTACTCTTCCTCACCACCGGCACCAGCCGCTGGAGCACGAGCTGCGGCCTCTTGCTGCGATCGCAATAATCTTTCCTGTTTAGGCGCACCTTCTGCCTTGACTTTTTCAAATTGCGCCTCCAAATCCGATTGCTGTGTTGGTTTGAGATCACCCCAGAACATGGGCTTCATGGCGTCTCTGAGCCATCGATAGAACTCGACAGCAAGGTTGGTCGCCTCTGCTCTGACATTTTTATCGGCATGGCCAAATACTTTTGGTAGGATCTTTAGGACTGGTTTTGGGTCGGCAGTCTTGCAGCCATAGTTGTGAAAGATACTGGTGAGAGCAGCCAGCGCAGCAGCGACGACTTTTGGCAGCTTGGCTGAAAGAGCAGGGAGTATATCTTCAATTACAGGACCTGGAACATCCAGCTCGACGAGCAACAAGAGTGCCTCCATTGCCGAGGCCTTTGTGGCCGGTCTCGTCGAAATTAGAGCCTTCTCGCAGATGGGAGTGACAACCTGATTGCGTGAGCGCACGCAGTTCTCCTTGCCGCCGAACTTGAGAAAGGCGCAGAATGCGGCAATGCCGTCGGATTGTGCGGCAACGTTGGAGTCCACGACGGCGCCCTTCCATAGACTAGGGTCCTGATTGAACGGACGAAAAGCGGGATCGTACTCATCGGGGGTGGCTTCGAATTGCTTTGCAGCCTCTTCGTATGCTGCCTTGCGAACTTTCCACACCTTGTGAACCCATCTGTCTGTCAATGGCAGAGAGCTGTAGTCGGGCTCTCCGTCAGCCATTTCGGCGGTCGGTCGATGGGAGAATACTATCGGCGTCTCAATGAAAGGCGCGGACAGAGTCGAATCGTAACCGGTAGACCTGGTGTTGAGAGGAGAGTCTACTGGAGAAACTGGGGCGGGAGAAGGAGTAGTCTGCGCAGGCTCTTGTGGTTTCTGGCGGGTTCGGAGCTTGAGAGTCTTGAACGAAAAGGACGGGTCCTTGTCCCTGGTTTTGTTCGGGTTCGAGGCGGAAAGTGGAAAGTTATCGGCTACTTTACAGATTAGTCGTCGCAAACGGTCGAAGGGCATCTTGGCATATTGCGAGAACCAGTAAAGACGAAATGAGAATGGCAAACACGAGGGGGGAAAGAGGGTAACTATTGCTGCGGTTGCGACAGACTGCCACAACGACAGACAGCGTTTGCGCGGGGAGTGCGACTGACTGACTCCCTCCCAAGCAAAGCTCGCGCGGCCTGACGTACTGGCAGATTTGACGGATGAAGCTTCATCGGCTGCAATGGAGGGACGAGGAGAAGGGCCAGGGCCGACGGGGAGTCGCGTAGCGTGGCTTCATCTCGGTTTCGCTGGAGGAAACAATCTCGGGCTGAGACGTGAACAAGAAGAAGCTGCGACTGGGCGATTTCCCTCCCTTTTTTTTTTTTTCTACTCTCTCTCTCTCTTCTTTCATTCATTCACTGTTGAACTTTCCCACTTGGCCACTCCCCCCGTCCCTTCCGTTCTTGCCTCTGCCTGGCAACTCTGCAACCAGCCTTGCATCTCTGGGGGTGTCAATCCGGCCGCATGGGAGCAGAAGAGGAAAGCCATCATGCGGCAGCGCGAACAGCTTCAAGAGTTCGGCGCACCTCGGCAAGCACAGGGAGCGGATTGTTCGTGTGCGTTCGCAATATACTACAGAGGTTGTTTTGAAGCACGAGGAGGTGTTTGACCTACATTCTGTGTTGTAGAAACAACTCGATGTCTCTGCAGATTGGATGCAGGCGTGATGGGTTTGCTACTTGTGAGCGAGTTGTTGAGTATAACAGCCTGTCTAGGAGGTATGTTTGTCCAAAACATGGACTTTGTTCAGAGACACCAAGAAATAAAATACAAAATTGGAGGGGTCTCCGAAAGAAGTATAGTATTGATATAAATCTGAGGGAGGGGAAAGAAGAGAAGGATTTCGAGATTGGTTGTTTCTTGCACCTTTTTTTAAGGGTACATTTTTTTAAGGCAGGGAGAGAGGTATCCTCTGGAAGTCGGTGATGATGTCGATTTGTTTGGTTCCAGTTCCCCGTACTACTTACCTTAGACAAGGGACCGATTGACTGGGCGAGGGGCGTCAAGTGGGCAACGAGGCCAAACGAGGCACCGCGCACTGCAGGGGGGGGCAGGGTGGGAGGGCACAAGAAAAACATTAAACCCCCGTCAGCTAACCAATCTCGTTGGTTAGGTGGAAACACCAGAAGGGTGGGACAGGGAGGGGATGGGGCCACTGGGCAGCCACCACAAGGAGGTGTCGCGTCGGGCAACGGGCAGCACTGACAGGTCGGCCACCAAACAAATAGTAAATATACATATGTACATACTACCAGCACATGCGCAGACACACACGGTTGAGCCTCAGGGTTGGGCTCCAGTGGAGAAGGACATCATCAGTCAGTCACCCATCAATCCCAGCGGACAGGGAAAAACCCGTCATCTTCCATTTTCTATGTATATACTCTTGCCATCTGCATCTTTGAATGTTTATTACTTGAACAGTGTGTACACAGTAATATTGCATTCATGACCTGCTTTAAGGAGAGAGAAAAAGACAATTCCCTCCACCCCGCCGCGCATATCCAGTCATAAGTCCACCAGGATCTGGATGCAAGGAAAATGGATGTACTGCGCGACAGGTGATAGATATTGGAAAGTATCTGGGCACGACGACCAATAAAAGACAAATCGTCTTCATCTATAAACAAACATGCTATGGCCAGGCCAACCATGCCGTCCATGACAGCCTTTCAGGAAAAGAAACCCCCCAAGCCGTAGACTTACTTGCCACAGAATAGTACAAAGGGATCTCTTGGCCTCGTTGCATTGATTAGATGCATATCAGCCGACGAGACTCAAGACCACTGCCGAGGCAAAATCTGCACATGGCACCCATCCAGCATCTCACCTGCACCGCAAGGTAAACAAACCTACAGCAAACAAGCTGAAGCATTGATCCAAAGTAAAGGTTAAACCCAAGATAAAAGCCTCGCTGACACGCCTCAGTCAAAATCAAATTCGGCAGTCCGCGATCCAAGCTGCATGCCAAGAGACGTTTCCCTACCTACTCGATGATTCAGAAACAATCTGATAATTTATGTTAAATCAGTTCAATGGTCACTCCTCCATCGATTGCACTCACTGCGTATGTCCTCTTCCAGCCACATGAAAGAGATATGGGACTGGTATGCTGGTGGACACGAGGCCGTATTTCTTGAAAGTCTCTGTGATATTAGCCAAAACATCGCCTTTGACTCGGCACGAGTTCAACAGGATACGGGTCAGACATTTAAAATGTCATGCGACCAATACATGGGGAGGTAGGTGCATTTGAAAATAAGTTGAGTTTCGCTGCACAGCTACGTTTATCTCGAGACAGGTCTATGCACAGAACAAAACTGCCGCAGCCAGTAAATAGGTACGTAGCGAAGGCGAAACACTTTGGAATGAGCCAATAGCAACTTGAAATGTGTCAAGATTTTTCATCGTGGCTGAGGAAGTGATTATATCCAACTTCCCAGTTGTATATTGTATGTGATGCATAGATGATTATGTTTCAAGTATGTGTGCTCTGCAGACGATGGCCGAATTTACTCGAATATACGTAAACAGCAGGCCATATTTGTAGAAATGACCCTCTTTCTTTCCAGCATATATGCAGGCAGCTACGGAGCACACTAGTTCCATTTAAATAGTCGTAAAATCCATTAGACAGCAAATACCATGATGACATGGGCAGTCCGTTACCTCGGACTTGATCTTCTTTCTTTCCCCTTGCTGGAGCCTTGCCGGAGCCTCGCCAGAATGAAGTGATGACCTGGGACGGTCTCGTGGCCAATGCACAGCCCCCCCCCCCCCCCCCCCCGCTTCCTAGGGGTCCAATGCAGCCCGACCCTGAGACTCGGCAGCTTCTGCAACAAGCACAAAAGAAGAACAAGCATTTTAGCATATTATTACTCATGTATCACAAGTTCACAACCATGATGCAATTCTCAGATCTCCGCGTGGCAGTTTCATTGAGACGTCGCCGTTGGCAGTTTTGAAATATGCCCCTCGGAGTCCTGAGAAGTAAAGAAATAAAGAAAGAGTAGTAGGTACGGTACCTACATAATCATCATTTCCTTTGTTTGCTAATACGAGGTCTCGTATGGTCAGGTGAAGTACATGTTCAAATAGATACTATCACCTAGCTGGGACAATGTAGCCATTGGCCATCGCGACCACAGAGTAAATGTACAGACTCGAAGTAAACACTGAGCGTCTGAGTTGGACCAAATCTACATACCTAGGTACAGAACCAACTGCCAATGGATTGGATGCGTCGCGCCCCGCAGTCCCCAATGCCCAGAGCCCCGGCCTTGCTGGCTGCCCGTCACGGGCAATTCCTCCAGCTTTTTGGGCCTGGCACCGTCTAGACCGCACCTAGGTAGATAGGTCGGTACATTGGTAGGTAGTAGGTAGGTAGGTAGGAAATCAATAATAATAAATAATCACAGGCAATGTTTGTTTGAATTCGATCAATCACCAAATCAACGGCAGCCCCCCCCCCAAACCCCATATTGGCTACTCCTAAACTGACATCATCCCACCACCACCACCACCACCACCGCCGCCGCCGCCGCCGCCGCCGCTGCTGCTGCTGCTCTTGCTGCTGCTACTGCTACCGCCGCCGCTGCCCTTAACCTCACTGAGCCTCTTCTCCAACAACAACAACAACAACAGGCAATCCGCCCTAAACGTCCGTCCCCAACTGATCTGGGACGAGACTCGAGATACATCTAGTTGTCGGGCACCGGCCCGAGCGACGTGCTCCTGCGCGAGGAGGCAGAGCGAGCGAACGAACGAGCTCCTGATCTGGTTCGGGTTCTGGATCTGACCGCCCCTCCCTACGACTCTCAACTCCTCCTCGACATCTACAAACCAGCACCGCACATACCAGCCCTCCTATGCACCTCGAGAGACGACCGACGGACAGCTACAGTGCATCTCATCCTACGCCCGACCTTGGAGCTGATGAAAACATCATAGCCAGCAAGCATGAGCAGTCAAATCTTGACGTCGCGCCAAGCTGACGAACTGTGCGTCCCTCACTCACCCGCTCACACACGTGTATACACAATCTTGCTCTTGTTCCGATCCGCGGCTCGCCCTCTTGGATATAAAATGTTTGTACTGACTTCTCAACTCTACGCCGCAGGCACAAGGCCATTGTTGCATATCTCTCCTCTAGCAACCTGAACAACACCGCCGAGGCCTTGCGCCAGGAACTCAACCTTGGCGACACGTTTGACGCCAATACTTCCAAGAAATATGAGGGGCTTCTCGAGAAGAAATGGACGAGTGTCGTCCGTCTGCAGAAAAAGGTTTGTCTTCTCGCTTCTCTATCTATATATACATCTCTCTCTACTTTGTGCCCCCCTCCCTCCTTCCTCTCCTTGTGCGCTCGTTGCTATCAACGGGTTCGTTCCGCCGTGGAGGTCTTGTTGCTAAGAGCTGCAGATAATGGATCTAGAGGCACGGAATGCTAGCATACAAGCCGAGCTCGACAACGCAACCCCAACTTCTCTAGCTCGCCGAAGTCAAGACCCTTCCAGCTGGCTGCCTAGGTCGCCCGCCAGGCATACTCTGCAGTCGCATCAGAAGCCCATAACCTGTATCGCCTTCCATCCTGTCTTCTCGACCTTGGCTTCAGGCTCGGAAGACTATACTATCAAAATCTGGGATTGGGAATTGGGCGAACACGAACGCACCATCAAGGGTCACACCAAGGCCGTTCTGGACGTTGACTTTGGCGGTCCCCGGGGAGGGACGCTGCTGGCTTCGTGCTCAAGCGACCTGACCATCAAGCTGTGGGATCCCTCCGATGATTATAAGAATATCAAGACGTTGCCCGGCCACGACCACAGTGTAAGCGCTGTGCGCTTCATCCCTTCGGGCGCAGCTGGCGCCCCCTCGTCTAGCAATCTTTTGGTTTCTGCCTCGAGGGACAAGACCCTTCGCATCTGGGACGTCACGACTGGCTACTGCCTCAAAACCATCCGGGGCCATGCTGATTGGGTCAGGGACGTGTTCCCTTCCTTTGACGGTCGCTTTCTATTGTCGTGTGGAACCGATCAGACTGCAAGGCTATGGGACATATCGCTGACCAACCCGGAGAGCAAGGTCACTTTTATCGGGCATGAAAATGTGATTGAGTGCTGCACCCTGGCCCCACCGGCTTCATACCAATACCTTGCCAAAATTGCCGGCCAGAAAACCCCTCCTGCATCTGCCAGCGCAGAATTCATGGCAACGGGTTCGAGAGACAAGACGATCAAGCTGTGGGATGGTCGAGGAAACTGCATAAAGACCCTGGTCGGACATGACAACTGGGTGCGCGCGGTGGTATTTCATCCCGGAGGCAAATATCTTTTCAGCGTGGCCGACGACAAGACACTACGATGCTGGGACCTGAGCCAGGAGGGCAAAATGGTCAAGAACCTGGACAATGCCCATGGCCACTTCATATCATGCCTCCGATGGGCCCCTGTCCTGATTAAGGAGCCGACCGTGAACGGAAGTGGTGACGCACCAAACGGCAAAACAGCCAACGGCTCTTCCTCCAAAGCAGGCGCCGCACCAGAAGTGCAGATCCGATGTGTTATTGCCACGGGTAGCGTGGATTTGAACGTCAGGATCTTTGCCAATTGAGAAGTCATGTCCAGATATCTGCATTGACGTGGATAAGGATCTGAAAGCTGGAGGTTTGCCGACAAGGCTAGTTCTGCAGCTCAAGTCGACCCCATGGCTCAGGGCTGGGTCATCATTCGAAGCTTTCGGCCCACGATGTAGGGCTTGGTGTTTGCACCACTAATTGCGGCGCCACCAGCGGCCAGTGACGGGTCAGTCACACAGGTTCAAAGCCACCTGTGCTATGATTCTTGGAATACCCTAGAAGACTGTGTTTTCAAAAACTTGGTGATGACCATGTCAGATAGATCGTTCCTCTCGTTCCGCCACTGCAAAATGTGCGTTCGAGTTCGTGATGGAAACGAATCAAGAAAGTAGATACGAGAATAGATACCCGTTCATCACTCTGCATCACATATTCTTTTAGCACGGTTTCCGTCTCGATGTTCAGCGATGATGACGCGGTGATCTGGACTGTCGTTGTAGATGTTTATAATAGCAGACCGTTATTCAGCAAAGCCAAGGTATAAGCTGCGAGAATTAAACCTCTTCATGTGCGGTCACTATGCTCGATTCCATGCATGCAGAGTTACGAATCTCGCACTTTTGTGGGTGAGCATTTCTGCCATGATATATTCTGCCAAATTCATATTGGGAGAAGCAATATCAGTAGATTGGGCTCCCAAAACTTAGGTTCATAGATTTGGCCAGTAATTTGTATGTGGGTTCAATTTTGTTTTTATATCTTTTTAATTTAGTATTTGTTTTCTTAGGTTAGGCTCATGCGTAAAATTCAAAACTTGTGTAATTATATAGGCAACTTCTTTATATGATTATATTCAATTTGAATTTTTATAATAGCATACGATCGCAACCTGGCCGCCGTTTGTGCCGTTGCACCCGTACCATTGTACAATCCTGAATTGCAATTCTAAGTTTGTTGCCATTTCATATTCGTTATTTCTAAATAGTCCTTAGTCGTCCTGTTCATTCCCCTTAATTGAAAGGTATTCAGTTCAGGAATGGTATAAACGTCCAAAAGTAAAATCCTAGGGCCATCGGGGCACTTGCACGCATGGTAATAGGTGTCCCCTTTAATGTAAGTCTATCCTGAAGTTTCTTATGAGTGTAATGGATACAAACTTGACGGTACGAGGTTGGGTAATACTAAGTGGACGGGCACAGAATCATTACGCAAAGAGCTTGCTTTACAGGTGGAGGTATTTAAAACTATCTCGCCATGCAGTCCCATTCTTAATGCGACACAGAGAACAGAAATTGATGGACGCCTTCGATACAGGCTACGCGATGGTAGCACACTACAGACTATGGGATATCTATCTGCTTGCGGGAGGCTCTACCTTTAATTTTCCACAGAACCATGTACTGAAGCGCCCAACCAGGTGTCGGTTTTTATTTTACCCATCCAGATCAGACATCCTTCGGGTGTGGCACATTTATCGTGTCACACAATGAATTGACAGCCAGGCCAATGGCCATTAAATTGAACCCCACGATTCTGAACATTATTCGGTGCTCTTGTTCTGCTATACTCAGCTGGGTTGATAATGGTTGCGCCGAATTGCTCTTTCTTGCGGTTACAATCCAGCCCCTTCAACCTGCTTGATCATTGCCCAATAAACAAAATGGTTCTAATGCATCTACGAGGGTGTCGTTCCACGAGCCGCCGCGGAAAAAAAAATCACAGAGTTAATCTGACTGTATTTTGGGTGGGTATGTATGTAGACCGAATCATCATGTGCTGGTCAAACCCAGAGAGAAAAGGAGAGAGAAAGAAAAGAGAAGAAAAGAAGAAAAAGAAAAAGAAAAAGAGAGAGAAAAGAAGAAAAGAAGAAAAGAAGAAAAGAGAGAAAAAGAGAGAAAAAGAGAGAAAAAGAGAGTCCCGCTGGCCCTTATATAGAGAGTTTTCGTCCAGCAATTCCGTCACACCCTTATGCAAGCTCACTGTCTCTACTTTATCCCTTATTACTTTGAGAATTTTGATTGTATCCTTTCTAGTTGTGCTCGCTTGTGATTTAGTGAGAGATGGTAGTGATGGACGATACTTCCACTCTGCGGAACTCCATTGATGATAAAAATGCTAACGAATCGACTGTAGCCCTACAAAACCTTATTGTAGAAACCGGAAGAGACGGTAAATCTGTCCAAGACACTCTGAGTGGCTTCAAAAAAGACGATGTATCGTCCATCGACATTGCGCAAGATGCGTGGCCGCACCCAAACGTAGCTTTGTAAGTCATCGTTTCCTGGCAGAGCAATGGGTACTGACCAATGCGCAGGTATAATCAAGCAGACCGAAAAGGCCAAGATACCCTTGTTTTGCCGAGTGCGTTACCAGGCCGGCGAGCCGACCGACTTCGTTCTCTGCGGCGGCTACGGCGCTGCTCACATGCCGGCTCATCGACACTGCATCTTGTCGGCGGCCTTCCATCAACCCAATCAGAAAGAGGAAAACATCTACGGAAGTCCTTGCGAGGAGGTCCACTTCCAAGAATATATATATATATATATATATATATATGTCTTCTCTCATGGATGCGAGGGTTGCGTGTCAAAGATCAGACTGCGATTCATCTCAAAGATATCTGGTTGACATGGCTCAGTATTTAAGACAACCAAGAGTGCCTTAAACCACAGCTGCACGTATAGCCACGTCTTGGAAGACTGACCACGGGACTACCGAATAGGCTTCCTCGGCAGTATCCAAGCATGATCTCCATCATTGGCGAGACGGGCTCGGGCAAGAGCACCTTGATTGCAGCCATGGTTCGAATGCTCGCACCGGTTGCACATGGCGAATATTTGGTGCCTGTCTCTGGTGCCGATACAGATAGCTTTGACTTTACGAGCAGCGATGTTCACATATTTGCTGGCCCAAGAACCTGCGAGACGGAGCATCCTCGTCTCGTTGTCGGTACGAACTGTTTCCGAATTACTCGCTCGGCCCCAAACGTTGAATTGGATAAATTCGTATGCTAACACCCTGAGTAGGCTGTGAAGGATTTCCTGCAACAGACAAGCCGATTGCTCGCCAGCTCTTGGCACAAGCACAGAAACCCCAAACACTGCAGCCCCTGACCGACGGCACTATGCGGAAGCCCAGCACGAATAGATCGGTCGAAGAAACCATCGCTGACCATACGAGCACCGCGTCTGACCGAATCCCTCTGGGAGGGGGTCAGACAACTCTAGGTATGTAAAAACAGGGTTCCCTCGGCAACTTTTGGTTTTTTAGGGTCTCTAACAAGTCAGAACATCTCACGATATCCTGCAAGAAATGTTCAAGTGGGCCAAAGATGAACGCTGGCATGCCCAGCGCCTTGGCCTCCGTCAATCAAGCCACGACAAGTCTCCTTGGAAACTTTGAGCGATCTACGCGCTTCACCGAGCTTCGACGGAGATGGAGGTCTCGAGGGAAAGAGATCCCCACGGCAGAAGAGCTCATACTATGCTACTATGATTCCTTTCGTGTTATCTCTATTCCACAGTACACTGCTACTCCCCCGACCACTGTGAAGAAGACGTCGGATCAGATCAAGACACTGTACAAAGAATTAATACACATGTCGGAGCGCATACGGAGTAAGAGGCAGCTTGTTAATATGGAGCTAGATGTCGTCAATGTGAATGTTTATTTCAAACGAGCCTTGATAAAATTGGGCCGCGACTACGACAGTACGATCGATTTTCATCAGCTTTCCGACGGAGACCACTGACTTCCGCAGAGATTCAGCGAGCACCTAGTTGGTGTCATGGCCAGTCTTGCAAAGAAACGCAACTTCGACAGAAGTCAAACAGTTGGCGGAGAAGCAATGCAGGTGCACCAGATGATTTCTTATATCGCTGTCTGTATTTTGGCACAAATTGGCGACCATGTAACTGAATGTATCATCATGCGAAACCAGAAAATGCGCCCAGGCTCTGATGTTACTAACGTGTACTTGACAGACGAAGCTCAGAAACGCAAAAACGACCTCGTGGATGAAGCCAGGCGTGGTCTAGAACGTTTTCATGCCCACTTCTGGAGATATGAGGCAAAAGAGTCCAGCGACCAGCGACGATGTAGGAACTAGGTACTGGGAAAGTCACGGGTCACCAATTTGACGATAGCAGCTTGGACTCCCAACGCTCCTCGGGCGTCATCTTGTCAGTTGGGTTATTTGAGAGTTCCTATAATCCCGATGCCTTCTCGGAGTAACTCTGAAAAGAAGTGACTAGACTCCACGGCCGCAGATGTCCAGTGGAAAAGCTCGCGTTGGAAGCGGTATCATGTGGCGTTGCATCCATCACAGGTCAGAGGACATGCTTGGCATGCCTCTCTAACACGCCGACAAATATGTTGCCCTGCCAGCCGGAGCAGCATTGCATCTGTGAAGATTGCATAAGGAGATATATTTACGAGCAAAGCGTAGATTACACCATACATATTGTGTCCTGCCCGTTGGCATGCTCTCTGACAAAAACACCATGGACTGTGCGCGTCAAGCCGCCAACAGCTGGTGCTCGCATTCTTTCCCTGGATGGGTCAGTACCATTCATTTCGTTACTCCAGTTATCATTTCTAATTTGTATCAAACAGCGGTGGCATCCGTGGCATTGCAGAGCTGATGATGTTGAGTGCTAATCACCAGCCAAGATGAATGACTGCCTGCAGCGGGCAGAGAATCAATCCGGAGGCTTTCGAACCTGGAAAGCGTGAGTTGAACTTACTGATCTCCAATCAGTTCGTCATTGGCTGATGTGACAAACTTGACCACGACAGCGCACGTGCAACCTCTGTTGCGCAGACATTCTTCGAGCCATATATACATGGTGCGACGCAGATGCACCACGTGGACGGGGCGACAGTTCGTAACCACCCTGTGAGACTGGCGTAGGAAGAAGCCAATCGGGTGTGGAGGACTGGTGCGAAACCCGACATCCTGCTTTCGATTGGAACTGGCATCAACTGGCATCCAACCCGACTCTGGTGGGCAAGTACTTGATAGGAAGGACGAGAAGCTCGATCGTATAAAGAGAGACTGCTGCCACAACGATCTGACCTTCAGGGATGGATACTTCTTTACGCGCTATATGCAGCCCGAGTACCAATGCGGACGTGATCATATCAAGGTGATGGCCCGACGCCTCTGGGCCTGGCTCTTCTACCTTGGCCACGTGCTGCCCATAAGCATGTCTGAGGGCGTTTTCACCGCCAAGCTGTACTGCCGCCTGTCACCGCAGTCCAAGGCAGCTCTGATGATACTTGCTAGTCGCCCAATCTTCCGGCTCAAAGAAGTCAGCTTCAGCAACGGGGAAATTTTCCACCCTGTTCGAACATTCTTGCCAGGAATATTAGACGAGAGAACTCGATCGGGTCCCGTGGAGCCGGATATATTGGCAGGAGGGCATAAACGTATAGTCGAGGTGTTGTTCACCAGACGCGAGTCGGATCGGGAGCCGATAGGAAGGTTTTAACTATTGTCATGGCATATGTAGCACGGGATAATCGGGACAGTGTCATGGCTCATTCGTGTAAGTACCGTGGGGGGTCCGGTTAGCACTTGATACTAAAATCTCAAAAATTGTCACAACAGTCCGATTAATAAGTAGTTTTGTTTCCTGGCACCGCCAAGGCCCAGGTACAAAAGAATTGGCCGTAGGCCGATCCATAAATACTAATGCATGCTTCACACAACACTCTACTGTTACCCCATTGTGAGCCTAACATTTTATTAATATAAATTAAGTAATTATTATCATCGTGGCTTGAGCTGCACGAAGAGTCCTCATGTTCCATAATATCATTGTCTGGATTCCTCCTGTCTGGTGCGCGTCCACCGCTACTCGGCATTACATGACAGCTGCGAGCATCGCGATGCCGCCCGCTATGGCCTGAAGACCCGCCACTGCGGTCGGAAGAGCCCCCGCTCCGGAAGAGTCGGTACCGTAAATTGTGACGGCGCTCTCGCCGGTGCTCGTGCCGTCAGCCGCAGTCGCAGTTGTGGATGCTGCCGTCGTTGTGGCTGCTATGCCGGTAGCATTGCCAATAAGGGATGCATAAGCAACGCTCTCGGCGCTGACAATGGACGACTCCAGCGAGGCAGCCTCAGACTGGATGCTCGCCAAGATGGCGTTGTATGCCGTGCCAGCGGCGGTGACAGCAGCCTCCTTGGAGAGGATCATGGCATTCAAACTGCTGATCTGGGCCTGATAGCTGCTGACAATGGCTGCTGCTTGCGAGGCCTCGGAGGAAGCAGAGGTCTCGGCTGCGTCCGTCTATGTCGATGGACATGTCATTAGCCATCCGCCTGCCTGCTCGGAATAATTAGATTGATCGACATACAAGAGCCACGGAGGCAATGCCGGCCAAGAGCAGATTTCTTAAATGCATGACGACGGGACGGCTCTTCTTCGCTTGGGGGGCAAGTATGGTGAGGGAGACACTGAGACAGGGTAACAGCTACGACAATCTGCTTCGATAAAGTTGCTGCTCTCTAAGTATCTACTCGTTGCAAGAAGCTGAATATCAACCGTGGGCGAGTCGGATTGAATTATCTAACCAGTCAAGACGTCGGACCATGTCGTATATCAAGAGGCCCGGGGTCTGCCGCCCGCTATCGTGAGCCGCGTCATCGGGCGGGTTCTCGAATTTGGGCTCGGGATTAGGGAGTGGGTTTACCTACGTACATAGTAGAGCTTGTCTAGGTGGCTACCATGTCAGTCTAGACTTGGTGTCATGTAAGCGACAGAGCGAGCGACCGACGTGTGTCAATAGCATACCTAGATGAACGTTGGCGACTGAGAACGCGCGGGTTGAAGGCCTCGGCATAGTAAGGCGGCAAGGCAAACTGACGACTGACATAAGTCTCCTGTATTATTATACACGCACTACTCTCCGCTTGCTATTGGACCTTGTCATTGGAAACGTGGTGCAGTCCCCGTCCAGGTAATCCTCGCGGTCCTCTAGCACAAGTGATGAGTGGATCTATCCATCTCCCGCCCTACATTACGCTGCACTAGTGTACGGCAAATATGCTCCGAGCAGGAATAGTACTTCTTTGACACCAGTATCAAGCAGCGTATCATTCTCTCTGGTATGTATAATCCTGGACCAAAGCGGGCGGTATTATTCATCTTGATCGTTGGTTCAAACTGCAGTGGAAACTGTCCACTTATCGTCGTGTGAACTCTACCTCCTGTCCTTTGACGGCGACGCCGGGGGATGGGGCTATCAAGGTCAGATATGACTCGAGTGTTCTTGTATGGTGAGCGGAGTAAACTTTTTTCATCCACCATCAACAAACACGTCGGAGATGACAGTGATTGTTGCCAACAACGTTGGATTATATATAAGGCTCATGTCCATTATACTAAACGTACCTCAATCCCGATTATCAGGGTCAGGACATTTGCTGTCTCCGCGACTTGTGACTCGCAAGAATAAGCAAAGACTGTACAACACAAGTTGCACATGTACAAAGTACGTGGTGACCACAAATCCTGTCATACAAAGACTAGACTGAAGCGGGTATGCGAGAAAGCTTGATTCTGTGGTAAAACCTATTACCTGCTATTGAACTCATGTCAAATATACGCCATCCATCTTCTTCTAGCCATACCATATTTCATGGGGACGCCTCATCCTCGTCGCCGCTGGAGTATAAAAACAAGAAGTGACATCTTGACTCGGGAGAGACGAGTTGAGAGCCTGTCGTGGGCCGGGATACTCCATACTCCTATTTGACAAGCTGCTTTGGGACTAGCGTGCGGGATTTTCTTTGTCTCTAGCTATAGATGTGCATACGCCACAACATCTCAACAACAACCGGGTGAGATGGCCGAGCGGTCTAAGGCGCCGCACTCAAGCTTCAGAAGCTTCCTCAGGATCTCAGTTCGAGGAGTATTGCGGTCTAGTAATAGGCGGGGGTTCGAATCCCCCTCTCATCACGTGACGCCCGGATCGGGGCTTGTCCGCCGATTCGCGATTCTTTTTGGTGTTTTCCGAAACCCCGGCCATCGCCGAGCAACCACAACATGCACTGTGCCTGCCAAAGTCCTCAAACTGCTGCTCAAAGCAACAGGCCGAAGCGTGGGCTGGTTTATTTTGCTTTGTCCCTGGTGAAATAAGCGAAACCGCGGCGGGAATCTGGTGTAGGAATTGCCTTTGTATAGCAACCCCATCATGATCACGGCTGCAGCAGCACCCTAGCGTGGGTTACATAATCTGAACTGACCATGTATGACTGTTGTCGTCGTCGTATGTGTATGCATTTCAAGATAGTGTTTGATGCTTGATCAGGGCAATGCACTGCCGAAAGAGAGGCGCACCATGGCCAGGCTACCTCCCGCTTGACACCCTGCCTGAATTTAGCTACATGTTCCATCATCGAGTATCCAGGATCCCGAATGGTCTCACACAATGTATTTATGCCCTATGCGGCAAGATTTACAGAGTACAGTGACCTTGAATAAATGCATGCCACATGGACGAGGTGCTTCTCTTTTATGCTCCTTGAATTTGACCGCAGGTCACGTATGTGATTGGAATCCCATCACTACAGAGAGACCAAGACGAAATCAGATGTTTGGGATGTTGTGAGGCGTGAGGTATCATGGGGTCGTTTTCATTGATCTTGTATAGGGACGTTGAGAGGTTGAGAGCGACTATAAAATGCCCTACATATACCAACACTAGTCAAGTCGTGGTTGCCAATTTTGTCAAGAATGTACGGGATTATAGTCCATGAGTGGGACGTCCATGTGACGGCAGTCGCAACCTCCCGAGCTGCATGGGCCAATGACGACAGAATCTGGAGTATTGATACCAGGCAGGCATCAGCTCAATTCATTGAGCTAAGTATAATATTAACCTCTCTATATATAATTTCCCTTGATGGATCGACCTCCTAGCCGACAAGACGATTCCGTCTGTCCCGGACTGTTGACTTGCGAAGTTGATAGCAAGCATTTTATACCAATGTGCAGCTTTGCAGACTACTGCACGCTATTTCTCCTGATTTGGCTGACCATCTGTTCCAACCAGTCGTTGAGTGCAAGGCGTGTTTGATACGTTTCGCTGGAATAAAAGTCAGATTCTGCATAAGAGTAGAGTATGGCGATTATATTAGTATAATATATGTAGAACAAGTAGATATTCATTTATTCATACTCAAATTTTCTCTCTCTTTCTCTCTTTCTCTCTTTCTCTCTCTCCCCCCCTTCCCTCCCCCCTCATCCCCCTCTTCTTCTTCTAACCACTAGATTGCAATAGAGGAGACATGTAAAAAAATATTGTTCCAGGTACCATATAGCTGATTTTGACTGCAATACATTGGATCTCTCTAGCTCAACCCCTGAGCTGATGCTGCCATGCCTGCAATATTTCCAATACTCGCAGGTGCGAGGGTGAAATTGCCAATGTACCCAAATTGGGCAATGTAGAAGCTATGAACACCCTTGGAGACGATGGCATCTACATAATCCTTGAGCTTGGATTCGGATGCCGGCTGGTAGGGACTCCAACTGTCGTAAAAGTCGTGGACCAGGATCGAGCTCTTGGACACCCTTGACTGATCCGTCCCCAGTCCATCCAGCAGTGCCGGGGTGAATGCCGAGTAGCCACTGACAGATGGGTCGCAGGCGTAGCCATTGAAATCTATACGTCCAGGTACACCTGTGTAGCAGGCTTCAATGTCCATGATTGCGTCTGCAACATCAAAGAGCGACTCGCTTCCATTCTGTACAAATGTTCCCGGGTTTAGCACAATAGGCCCGCCAAGTCCGGCAAATTTTGCCTTGGCATATCGGGTAATCTCAAGGTTGTGGCTCAACTGATCTGGGGCGGTGTTGATCTCGTCAAAGAAAATGCCACTTATATGAATATCATACGAGTCGTCCTTCCAGCCCTTGCCTGTTTCCCACGCTGCGTATTGATCCACGGCTGCTGTTACATCGCTGATGCTTTTGCCGCTATACTTGGTCGCAATATAGCCGATAAGCTTCACGTTGGCATGGGAGTTGAGCGAGCCAAGGTACGGTGCAAAATCTCTGTTAGAGTTGGGTGGATTGGGATCATAAGGAGGACCCGAGTTGTCATTCATAATGATGTAGAAGTCTAGATTGGGATGCGCAGAAACTGCGGCAATAGTAGAGTCCCAGTCTGCCAGAGCGGCATCCCCATATGGGTATTCGTAAAGAGGCAGTATGATGCCCGTCTTGGCGTGCGCGGCATGCGCGGCGGCAAGTACGACTCCCAATGCAGCGAAAGCTCTCATGATGCAAAATTGATATAATACTAGTCAGATACCTGAGGGGCCTAGACCGAACGGGTTGGCAAGATCGTAAGTTGCGTTGCCGTTTCTTCAGAGTGTGAGTGAGGGAAAGTAGAGGGATCACAGCTGCGTCTCCCCGTCGAAACAAATCAGCACAAAAGCCTCCAGGGCAATAGTCATTTCAAAATTGTGGCAACAAAGACACCTGATGTGTACAAGCCCCAGGACAAGGATGGTTCTTCAACAAAGGATGCATGTACAAAGACCTGGCGTTGAAGGACTTTCTCTGAGAATTTGTGCTGGTGGACTCATGATCAATGAACCGCAGATATCAAAGAAATGGGTCATCCAGAGCTTTTTTTTGGGAGATGAGGATTGAACTTGGCGCCGTGAGGAAGATGCTCGTCTCACATGGAACCATGGCGAGGAGACTTTTTGATCATGATTGCTGCTGGAATATTCTCACCACTACTCAAGGATAACATTGCATTACAAGATCCTCGATAGTGCATATATAGTATTGCAAGAGCAGTTACGCAATGAGGGGTGTTGTCGTTTGGGTTGGTCGCCCATGCTTTGGTCTATGATACTGTGGCAGCTTATTCTTACTTTATAGTGCTATCATAACAACGTGATGGGCGAGCTGTGATGATAAGCTAGCATGAACTGTAAATTCCAATAAGACCCCTGAGCCAGGTAGCATCACTCCTCCAACAACGAGGAGAGCAGCATATTAACTCATTCGGGCTTGGTCGAGATAGTCCTATCAAGTATCGGGCCTTCATTGTTCATGGAGAAGATCCTCGAATGTCACCTCCATGGGGCAAATTGGATTGCATTATCCTTTCCGCGGCCCGTCGCACTCTCCACAACTCCAACATGATCCCACTGGCAGCGACATATGACACACCAGCGAAGATCTGAGCGTAAGTATATGAGCGTGGCCCAAAGTCTGAATGCCGCAGTTGTAGTGCTATAGCTTCCGCGCCTAAAACCACCTTTGAGTCCGCTCAGTCGTTCCCGCAATGGGCGGAGTTATGCAACTTACATGCACTCGGTGCCGCGACAGAAAGCCACACAATAGTCAAGAGAGCTGTGAGCTCCTTGAGATCTACCATGTCGGCCGCCAGAGGACCAATGGCCTAGTATAGCGTCAGAGCTTCACGGGAGAAAGAAACTGGAATGGCAAACGGCTTACAGCCCAAAATATGCCCAGGATTGCCCCACTGATGAGAGCAAAGGGAATAAGCAGTCCGTACTCTGTAGTTGGGAGCCAAAGTGCAAAGACGAGGATGCCAGTGGCAAATGTAGCAGACCCAGCGACTACGACCCTCCCCATGCGATCGCTCAGGTAGCCTATGAGCGGGCGGCCGATGGCAGCCCCTAGATTCAAGACGGCGGCCACAGTGGCCGAGTTCTGCCTGGACCGGCCGATTGCTAGAGCGTAGTCCGACAAGGAGAACATCAAGGTCATGTATCCAAACATGATGACAACGCTCCAGGCCAGCAGCAGTCTGACCTGGTATGACGAGAGGAGATGGAGTTTTAGCAAGTGCATATCTGGCTTGATCTCCCGATTGCGTGAGCGCATGACAATGGTGGCTGAAAGGTTTACAACAAAGACAATTACGGCCGTGATCCGCAATGTCAATGCCAGTCCTACAGTGTCAAGCATGACCTGGGCCGAAAAGCAAAGAGAGAGACCGCCTATGCCAGAGCCAGCAGCGCTGATCCCGTTCGCCAGGCTGCGCTTCTTGTCGAACCACTGCGGGATAATGGCAGTAGCGGGTATGTAAATGAGACCTATGCCGACTCCAACACATAGACCTTGTGAAAGATAGAGATGCCAGACCCGTATTGCGAACGAGGCTGATGCAAAGCCAAGCGGCAGCAGTATTGCTCCGAGGAGCATTGGAGTTCGAGCACCCCCGATGCGTATTAGCAAGGTTGCAAGTGGCGCCGAGAGGAGGGCAAACGCGAAATTGAAGCCCCCGATAAAGGCGTAATCGACAGAACTGGCCTCGGGAAAGATATCATGAGATAGGTAGTGAGCAAGATAGACGCTGTAGCTCTAAATTGGTTGCTATCAATACATTTCAGAGTTGAAGAGGGGCAAGAATACATACCGCGGCTACGCCCCATGTGAAGCCGTTGATCAAGAACTGAGCCAACACGCAGAACCATCCATATCCACCATCGGGGGGAGGCGGAGGCATGTTTTCCTGGGCGAACGCTGTTGCATATATCGCCATGGTAGGCTCGGGAGCATATGCATCGGCAGCATCACCTCGACCGCGTCTACCCAGTGCCATGATCGCGCGTGCCTGGCGCTTCACTGATCAAGAACACCGAAAGCTGTGTTTGTCAAGTCAGGCCCAATCTTGTAGGTTAAAGGGAAACGTGGGCAGCACACCGTCGTTGGCGCCAGCCTGGGTTGTCACAGTTTGGCAAGCATATAGGCCGGGACGCGTGGAGAAGGGGGAGAGAATCATAAATGATGCCTCGTCTCTCGTATATTTATCGAGCGTCACCAGTTTCGGATGGGTGTGTAGGACGTTCTAGCTTTGTTTATAAATTCATCGAGCTCATCTGCGCACACTAAACCCACTTTGCTCGGGGCTATAATTATAACGCCTTTCGCTTTGGCTGATTATAAGGGCATGCATTACCACTAGGGTTGGCATTAATTTAACTGGCAGTTAACTTTAGGGTTGGAAAACGGTAACCGTTAAATTAACCGCATTGCGGTTATTTTAACCGCATAAAATTTAAATTTAAATTTAAAATAACCGCAATTATATAAAATTTAAATTTAAAATAACCGTAATTACGGGTACCGTAAATTAACCGTTAATTATTATAAAAAATTAAGTTAATTATTAAATAACCGTATTATAAGAATTTTATTTTATTTTATATTAAGCATTATATACGTTATGGGAAATGTGTAATAAACAGGGTTAATATAATTAGTTTTAGTTTTTAGTTTTAGTTTTTAGTGAACTAAACTACTTAGTTTTATTTAAGGCATTAACTAAACTAACGTAGTTTTAATCAGGCTGCTAACTAAATCACTTTAGTTTTAGTTAACACTTTAATTAAATTAATTTAGTTTTAATTAGCACTCTAACTAAATTAATTTAGTTTTAGTTAATTTTTTAATTAATTAAAGATTTTTTAAAAACGGTATAATTATTTAATATAAAAGGATATAATAAAATTAGTAACGTAAATAATTAAAAAAAGCTTTAATTATTTAATTCTGCTAATTATTTTTATTATAATTAATAAATTAATTAAATTAAAATAAATATTAAATCTTTAGTTATTTAGTTAACTAAAACTAGAAACTAAATCATTTAATTTAATTTAGTTTTAGTTAGCATTTTTAATAACTAACGTTAGTTAACTAATAATTAAATTAAATGTAGTTTTTAGTTAACTAACGTTAGTTAACTATTAGTTAACTAGATACCAACCCTGATCCTAATATAACCCGGGATAAAAAGCCTTTTTTAAGCAAATTTATAAATAATTATAAAATAAATATTAAAATATTTATATTTTAAAATCAGGGTTGCAATTGAGTTAACTGGCAGTTAACTCAATTGAGTTAACTTAAAACTCAATTGAGTTTAGTTATTAACTCAATTAATTGAGTTATTAAAAGTGCTAACTCAAACTCAATTGATTTAGTTAGCAGGCTAAGTAAAACTTAATGATTTAGTTAGTAGGTAAACTTAAACTAAATCAATTGAGTTGAGTTAATAACTTAATTAACTCACTAACTCAAAGTTAAATTAATAAAAATTAATTTAATTAATAATTCAATTTAATTTAATTAATAAATTGAATTAATAACGTTAAATTAAACAAAAGAGATATTTTTATTATTTTTTATACTAATTATCTTGATTTCTTTAAGTTTTAATTAATAAAAATAAGATAAAATAAAGAAATAAAATAAAGAAATAAAATAAAGAAATAAAGTAAAAGAAATAAAGTAAAAGAAATAAAAGAAATAATTAATCTTCCTCCTCTAATAAATCGTTGCCTTATACAAACTCTTGTATTTCTTTTGCACTTTTTAAACCCCAACTCTTTAATAAAGTTAACTGTTTAACAGTTTTTGGAGATAAGTTATTTCGTGCTTTAGAAATAATATAACTTGAAGTTGAAAAAACCCGTTTTAAAGCCGTTAAAAAAGCTGGAATTCCTAAAAATTACCGGGCTAATATAGCTAAAACCGGATATTTAAATTAATTATTTTTCAAGTAAAATAACGGATCGTCCTATTAAATAAATTAATTAATAACTTTATAACTAATTAATTTAAATTAAAAAATTAAAAATAATTTACGTTATATAAAGCTAACGGTTCGTTAAAATAAGTTTCGCATTCGTTATTTAAAACGACCGTAAATCGATTTAAAAAGAAACTTTCTTCATCCGAATTATCTTATAATTAGTCTTCGTTAACAGATTGGGTTTCGATTCCACCTTCCCGTTCATTCTTAATCCTATAATAATTTATTAGTTAATAATTAAATTTATTTAATAAAAAAATCAAATAAAAGAATCAAATAAAAGAATTAAATAAAAAAATCAAATAAAAAAATCAAATAAAAAAATCAAATAAAAAAATCAAATAAAAAAATCAAATAAAAAAATCAAATAAAAGAATAAAATAACTTACACTTCATAAGTTTCTTTAAAAAGAGTGGTGATATAATCCAAAACCCCATTATAAAAGTGTAATTTATAACTCCGTTAAAAATGGGTTAATTTAATTCGAGGATCCAAGATAATAGCCAATAAATAAGGCCCGTAAGCATCGATATTATTAGCCGTTATTAATTTTGGGAAATAATTATCCAATTATCTTCCACCGACTGCAATAGCCTGGTTAAAACTTTGTAATAACGGTGCCTAAGTTAAAGTTAATTAAAAAATTAAATAAAGGCAAAAATAAAATAATAAATAATTTATTAATTCTGGTTTTTCTTTTATTATCTTTTTATATTCGTCGTAAATTACCTTTAATTTCGGATAAAAGGTATAAACGTATAATAAAGACGTTAATAAAGTAGTATAAAATTTACCTTGTAGTTTTATATTTGGTTTAATAAAGATCTTTAAAATTCGTTATAATTAGGTTAATAAAAACCAATCGGCCTTCGAAAAGAAGATTTGTTGAAAATCCGCATACTCCGTATTTCGATAAATATAAATTAATAGTTTTTTTAATTTAAAAACTGTATTAATTATATTATACGTCGAATTTTAACGGATATAAGAATCTAATTAATTAATTAGTAAATAAATAAATAAAAAAAGAATAAATAAATAAGAAAATAAAATGACCGTTAGGAATTTTTGTTTTATTATAATTTTTTGGTAAATTACCATCGGCTTTTAATTTTTAGATTCCTTCGATTAATAATTTATTAATTCCGCCCGTATATTTCGTTAAAATAGCAATACGGCGAACCCGGTTAATTAGACCTAATAAGATTATTATTAATTAATTAATTAATAAATAAATAAAGAATAAAATAAAGAATAATAAAATAACTTATTATTAAAAGTAGATCTTTTTGGTAATTTAAGTGGTTTATTGTCCGGTAAAGAGGGTAAAATAATATTAATATAACGTTGAAGATTTTCGGCTTTATCGTTATTTAATATATATTTTTTTAAAATGCCGTTAATAACGATATTAATTATATAGGCGATGCAGTGAATATCGCAATCGAATTCGAAGCTTATATCGTTTTCGTACTGATTTTTAAAAGCTTCGATAAACGTGGAATTATTTTTTGCATTATTACGGGTAATACTAAAAAAATAATTAGTTATTTACCTAATAATAATATAAAAACTTACCTAATAATATTTGTAATATTTATTAAAGCAGGGTAAGAATTTAACGATTTTTTAAATTCGTTAAAAATGTTAAAACCCGTATGCTTTTCGTTTATTAAATCGAAACCGATTAATTTGTAAATTAAATTAAATTCGGGGTCGATATAATAAATAATAATACCTAAATAAGCCGTATTATTATTTGAAGTCTAAATATCCGTTATTAACGAAAATTTACCTATATTTTTAATATTCGTATTTAACGAACAGGGTTGGAAAACGGTAACCGTTAAGTTAACCGCATTGCGGTTACTTTAACCGCATGAAATTCAAACTTAAACTTGAAGTAACCGCAGTTATGTAAAACTTAAATTTAAAATAACCGCGGTTACGGTTACCGTAAATTAACCGCTAACCGCTATTAAAAGTTAAGTTAATTATTAAGTAACCGCGCTATAAAAATATTTTATATTTTATTAAATAAAAATATTTATAATAAAAGTTATATAATAATTAAAACCTTTTTAATTAACGTATTTAATTTTATAAAAAACTAATTAAATATCTTTTAAATTAATAAATTTATAATTATTTTTATTAATATATTACGGTTAATTACGGTTATTTATAAATAACTTAAAGTAACCGCGGTTAATTAAAACCCAAACTTAAACTGACAAGTAACCGCTTGCGGTTAATAAAAATCCGGACCGTAACTTAACTAACTTTAAGTTACTTAAACTTAACGAAGTAACCGCAAAAATAATTTCCAACCCTGTTAACGAATGATTGAAAATTGATAAAGAATTCGAAAAAGTGGAATTAAGGACGGCTTTTATATTCGATCGATTAAAAGCCGGTAAATCACTATTTAAAATTTATAAGTTAGGTAAATAATAAACGATTTAAAAGAATAACTTACGGTTATAAATAATTTAATAAGTTTTTAAAAGAATTAGAATTTAAAAAACTAAAAGATAAATTATTATCGATAATAAAATTTAATAATTTATTATTAAATTCGTCATAATCGAAAATGGATGGATTCGTTTCGGTCCGTGGTTTTTTACGATTAGTTAAATCGAAAAAAGAATTATTCGAATTAATTTCGGATCCTAAACCCTATATAATCGTTAGTTTAAATTTTTTATAATAATAATTTATCGACCCGGCCCTTAGTAAATTTATAATATTTTGCCCTCCGGCGTAATTAAACTCCCAGCTAAATTAAATTATAAAAAATCAGGGTTGGCATTTAGTTAACTACTAGTTAACTACGCGTAGTTAACTACGATCGTAGTTAGTTAATGGCCTGAGTAAAACTACCGTAGTTAGTTAGGGGCTTGAGTAAAACTAAACTACCGTAATTTAGTTAATAACTACGCTAACTAATTAACTACGGTTTAAATTGATTAATAAATAAAAGAATCTTTTATATAAAATATTA